TTAGAACCATTAAGTTTTTTAAAGGCTTTTCATGTGAGGTGAAGCTATGTGTATTACAGTAGGTAGATTGTAAATAACAATTTAATTCCTTCCTTCCCCTGGCCTTTGTTACACCAGCTGTTCAGTGTATTTGGCAGTGTTGCTATGGTTACTATCAAGAATGCAGCTTCACTAAAAAAGGTGCGTTTTAAGTACAGGTGAAATGCTAAAGCTGGAACCTGTATGCAGTGCCAGGATGACAGCATAGGCAATGAGTGGAACAAATTTAAATGGAAATGTCAAGCAGAAACACTATCATTGTTCCTTTAAAAAATGCTAATTTTAATGTTAATGCAAAATGCACACCTCCTAACTGCATTGGTCTTCTGGAGGATCACCCTATCTGTGCTCATATTGAAGTTTTTTCTGACATTTAAAAAGCAAAGTTGTGCATGCACCCCTGCAGTGGGAAGCTGCTGAGTTAGGGTGGGTGCTCTGGGCAGATCAGTGGGTCAGCTCTGACCTGCACAGTAGTGAACAGCAGGTACAGTGGCCAGCTTTGAAGGTGAACTGGGGTGAGGAACCGTTTGTACCTTTTGACCATCTGCTTGTTGTCTGAGCTGTGTCAGGTGATGCCAGCTGGCTCATCCTAGGTTATTTGCTGAAGAAATAGTGCCATCACTTCAAGTTTGTTAGGGTGTTTGCTTTCAAGGGCTTAGGTAAAATCACTGGTGACTGTTGATTTGATTCCTCTTGTCATGTTCTAAAGTTTTTTTATTTCATGAACAATTATATAATATTAGAAGCTGTTTAAGTATGCATGCTTATGCAATCCAGACTTTGTTGCTGAAGTTAGTGCATCCTGATTTTTGTCTTTGCAGCACTTGACCAAATGTGGAAAACATTTGGTTTACCTACAAATGCCTATAAGTGTAGGGCTGATTTTTGTTTTGTTTATGGGAGAACCCTGTGCAAAGCAGATTTTCAAAGTGCTCAGATGGAGATGTGTGTGGAAATCCTATTGGGTTTACCAGTATGATATTTTCCCATACAAAAAGTTATTTTGGTGAGTGAGCCTACTTTGGTGCTGGATACTGTGGTTAGATTAGGACTGAACACAGGATCATGAATATAATAAAACAAGTATTTTAAAAAATCATTACACGTGTGTTCCTGTCTCCTGCCTTCAAATGTTGAGAAGTGGCAGTTAACCCCCTCATGGAATAGGATGCACCTCCACAAAAATAAGAACAACAAAACCCCGTGAGAAATTTTGCCATTGCTAGAGGATGGGGGGTGGCAGAGTCCTGTCCTTCATTAGTGTATTTGTACTTTCTTGGCAAATAGGCACAAAGTGAAGAGCAAGACTTCCTGGAAGATCCTGCCCTACCATGTACAGTGAGCGAGGAAGTATGAAGCAGGTGAAAGAGTTGGCAGTCATGATTTTGCCTTCAATAGTACTATTTCTCCCCATACATTCAGTGCTCCAAACCGTGGTAACGATTTCTGCTAGCCCCTGAGCACAGATTGTTCTGCAGCAAAACATCTGTGAATTCCAGCATGGCTGTGCTGACCTGCCTTGGAGCAGAGCTGTTCCCAGACCACAACCTGCAGTGGCAGTTGCTGACATGCATCCAGCATTGCAGGCTCTGCCTGAAATCTGTATCCAGATCATATCCAGGCAGCAGGCAGTCTGTATGTCATGCTTTTGATTTATAAGGGTCAGGATCTGCAATCAGTTACACCCATGTGGATCTAGTAAAAAAAATGAGATTGCCAAGGTATGAATGAGGCTGGGTGTTAATGCTTCTTCCAGTGTGTAATTATAGGATTGTTCACCTGTGAAGCAGAATTGATTCCAGCTCTCTCTCATGCAGAATAAGGAATTAACTAGGGATAAAATCTTCAAAGCACTGCAGTGATATAAATATTAATTTGAAAAATAGAAATTAAATGTTTTTAAAGGCAGCAGATATTCATTTATACAGTGAGTCATGCTGCAAGAAATGTGTCCCTTTTCTTGAAGTTGACCCACTCTTTGTGGTCCCCTTTGTTGGGAGCTTTGGTAAAACATTCCTTGCAGAGGAGCTGTCTCATTATTCCCTTTTCGTTGTCAATGTTTATGGAAACTATTTTTCATAATGGAAGAACATATTTTGTACTGCAGCAACCTGATTGTCTTTTAAGTTCTCTGAAGCCTTGAATTACAGGCTGCAAATGATTGTGGCAATAACAATAAAAAAATTCCAATCTTAATTACAAAATGGGGAAGAAAGGAAAACCATGGTTTGTGTTCAGCCATTTACTTAGTGAGAGATGCCTCTGTTGAGTTTTGCACACTGAACCTGTGACTTTGACAGTTCCTGCTCCTTGAAATTTCCTCCATATTTCTGCCTTTGCAGTGTAGTACTCAGGCACCTCCTGTACCGTGCTGCCGCAAATGGAATGCACCCAGCCAGCCTGCTCTCAGGTGTGCTGGCAGCTGCTTTTGGCCCAAGTGGTCCTGACTGTCCATTTCAGTCACAGTCTGCTGTTTTACCTAATCATACTGAAAGTGAAATCCCAGACGCTGCTTTCTTCCGCAGCTTCTTTCCCATCATGTGGTGCCATAATAGAGCCTAATGAGGCATGCTCACCAACATATGGCTGAGCTATCTCAAATGTCTCTATAGATTATGTATCACCAGATGCAAAGCTAATGCCCCATCCTACAAATGGTGAAAGAAGCAGGATGCACACAGTTAAAACTCAAAATGGGTTATTAAATTTCTGCATACTACAGTTTTTGAGGTTGGAGGGAACCATATGGAAAACTCATACTTTTTACTTGGATTCTGCCCTTGTTCTCATGGTTTCCCTAGTCCTGCAAAAGAGAGCTGAATTGGCAAGACATAGTTGCCTATTCCCCTTTTTCCCTATGACACAGCAAAAGAATGAAGAAGGAAAACAAAATCTTTTATTAATTTTCTTTTTGCTTTCTGTGACTGAACTGGCATGGAGTGTGCAGCAATGTGTCTAGGTCAGCAGAGAAGGAGCTTTGATTCTGAAATATTTCTGTTCAACAGGTCTTCAGAGCTCCTGGAGTGGAGCTCTGTTTGCTCCACCCTTTGCTAAAGGATGTTCTGGAGTCTTTAGTTTCTGCTCTGAGAGTAAGACTTTCAGTTTGATGCTTTTCTGTAGAAGTTTTCCAGTTCCCACATTACTCTTGAAGTATCTAAAATGAGAAGGACATATTTATATCCTTGTCAATGGAAAAATATCCAGTTGGAAAATTAGTAACATGCAGCCCATTTGATTGGTTTAAATTAATTGGGCAGAAATTAAGTTAAAAATCCATGTGTACATGTTTATCCTCTGGAGAGATATAGTTAAACCCCTTTTTCCATCAAGCTATTATTGCTCAGATTACCTCAGGAAATACCAGAAGTCTATGTCCTTGAAGGACTACTTTGTTGAGCTGCTGAAGTAATCACAGAACTCAACCATCAGAAGAAAAAAAAAATTTAAAAGCCAAAATAAGGTTGTTTCTTAGAATTGTATCAGTTGCAATTCTAAGTTGCATCTGATTAGCAAAGAAGCTCAATCAGTACTGAACCTTGAATCTATCTGTACGTATCACTGCTGAGCTTTTAGTGTGGTTTGTCACACTGGAATAAGCTTCCCTTTTTGTTAGTGAAAAGTGTTCTCCCTTGATCCTGAAGACCCTTTTACTTCATTTTAAGCATGCCAAGACAGTTTATTATAGTGTCCTAGCAGTATATTTGGAAAGTATACTGCATGCACATATGAGTATTTATAAGAATTTTATTTCTCTTCCATTATTCTACTTAAAAATGGATTGTAGAAAATTCACCCTAAATTCTGAGAAGATATATCCTTATTGAGTCATCCATTGATTCTCCTAAGGCACTTTGAGCTAACTCTAGTTTTACCCTGTCTAACCACTAAATGTGCAACTTGAATGGCAGATATCATCCCTACTAAACTTGTCTTGACAGCCAGGAAATTATGAATGTAGCCCAAAGTTTAAAGGTTTGGTTTTACTGAACTGCCAGACCTTCTGTGTCTTCACCAGCTTCTACAAAAAAATTGGGTGATTTCTTAAAAATGTCTATAGGTATATAAAAGGTTGTCCCTGTTAGTTGAAGTACTTGAGTTTACTGCAATTTTACTACTTAACACACTGTGATTCTAGCATTTAGTGTATATTTAGTTAGACCCACTCATTGCTAAGAAAAATTTTCTTGCATTTGGTAACCTTTCATCTTCATTTTCATGCTGAAAAATTTACTTCACAAATAGATTATTCTGAGGAATGTACTTCCAAAGTACTGTATTTTGGGACTGGACATTGTATTTTCTTTTCAAATAATTACTTAATAAAGTTCATATAAAATGTAATTGTTAGCAGCTTGCAAATTCAATGGACCTTAGAATTCACTATTAAGGGGTATTTTGACAGAAAATTGTGATCAGACTGCAGGTGATTTCTTTCCAGATACTTTCCACAGAGCCCCTGCTCCTAAGATGTATATTTTGGAACTTTGACTCCTTTTGTGTGTATATTTTATTTCATGACTAACTTAAGCAGAATGTCTCTACAGCATGTTTGAAATAACATTAACTTTACCATTTGCAGAGATAAATTAATCTTCTGAAAAAATACTTGTTTTCCACCCTGATGCATCAAATAGGTATTGACTAGTAGTAGTAGTAAAATTTAGCACTGTTAAAGATTTAACTGAGTCTAAAATTAGATTTTCTAAAATGTTTCTAAATTACAATTATGGACACCGTGTTTTGAAACAGAACTTGCTGTCTTTCAGTGGCTCAGTGAACAGTAAAGATCACATAGTATGAAAAGAGCTTGGCTCTCAAAAATTGAATTGGGAGTCCTGATTTTTTTCTACATGGTCTGACCTTCTCTTAGAGTAGCAATACATGTTGAAACTATTTTGACAACCTGCTGAATTTTATCTTATATCTCTCTTAAGTGCTATTTTATTTCTGTGTACTCTCAGGAATTATTTACCTGACCTCAGCTCTTGGCCACCTGGCACATTCTGCATTCTTCCTGACTGTTTCTGCACGGGATGGGGGTGGCCTTCCCTCTGCCAGCAATGCAGCTGTCACAGTAAATGTCCTTCAGACTGTTTTGGCCCCTGCCATATTTGAGAGATCCCGGTATAGCTTTTCTGTTCCAGAAGATGCTCCTGAAGACAGCGTGATTGGCACTGTAAAGGCCAGAGAGCCTCCAAGTAAGTCACGTTCTCAGTCAGAGATTATGTTGTATTTTTGTTGTGGCCATTAACTGGAAATAGCTGTAGATTATTTTTTTTCCCCATAAACCTCTGTGTTATTCATTCAGTTTGTCAAGCATTAAATAGAATTTATCTTTGGTATTTACAGCAACTGGTGTAATGGCTGATTTATCGGGATACTCTTTAGAACAGTTGGAGATTTCTGGTACTCTCCTTGGTGGTCCACAGAGATTGGCAATGGCCTCCATTTTCTTCCTGATGGATTTCTATGATTGTAAATGAGGAGATAGGAAGCATGCTGTGAAAGTTTAAGTAAGTGTGACGGACTTTAACTCAGGTTAAAGTGTTAGCCATGCAGGGCAAATTTCAGAGCAATACTTAAAATCAGAGAGTATTCAGGAGTTTCTGAGGATCTGCAAGAAGTGCTCCTGGCCACCCCTCAAAAAACCAAACCAGAACCAACCAACCAAACACAACCCCACACTGTCTCAAATGAAGTGAAGAAGTCCAGATGAATGTTTGCAGGACCTTTGGAAAATATATTTAATCCATCTGGTTTTGTTGTCATTTCTAAATGGAAATGGATTAGCTCCTGACAGTCCTTGGTTATAAAGAGCCCTGTCCTGAGCGCTGTACATACTTGGTTCCTGTGCAGAGCAGTGGGACTTGTGAGTCCACATAACAGCCTGATGATGCATCTCTAAATGTAAGGTAGTAGATGGCAAGGTTTCGTACAAGCTTCATTAGGTCCTTCCATTTCTTTCTTTTGGGAAGAACAGTCCTCGGAGTGGAGATAGCACCCACTGCGTGGCCTTGATAGAAAGCCTGAATCTTTAGACAGCTTGTTCTTAAGGTAGCATCTGATGTATAAATGTTACAAGAATGGTCACCCATGAACAGCAAGTTTATTAAAATACATTTGTTTTCAGGGAACTGCCACCTGTTTCGTTCCTTGCTGTAATGAATGCCTGTGTGTAGTGAAATTGCTCCCACAAGACTAATTTATAGGTGTGTTCTTTCTGTATTTTAGATCAGGGAGAAACAAGAGGCTATTATGTGATTTTTCTCTATAGAGTTTTATAATACCAGTGTGATGAAAATCAAAGAGTGCAGAAGTGGACAAACTGTGTGGATTCATATTTTACTGAAGGGCTCCAGGGATGGGAAGAAGGAAGCATAAAAAGCCCAAGAATGTCAAACATCTGTGTAGCTTACATTTATTCCATTGAATTTAACAGCATGCATTCTCCCCAGATGTTCTTGCCAATGTTTATGTTATCACTTCCATTTTTTTTTGTTACACTTTTTGTTGCTGTTTCCATTTCTAGATTCTCTAGAAGTGATTTCTTACAGAATTTGCTCCGGTGATCCGCATGGGAAGTTCTCTATCGACCCCCAGTTTGGCATTATCCGCACCAAGAAACAGCTTGACCATGAAGCTCAGTCTGTTGTGGTGCTCACTGTTCAATCTCAGCTGGGTGACTCCCCCATCTACAGCAGCACTCAAGTCAACATATTTGTGACAGACATCAATGACAACCCCCCTGTATTTCTTTCCAAATCTGATAAGGTAACCATCTCACATACCCAGCCTCCTGGCACTGCTGTCTACATTGCTCATGCAGAAGACAAAGACAGTGGCCTAAATGGGGCAATCAAATACAGTATTGCAAGCAAGCAGTCAGATGCATTTAGCATTGATCCAAGTCTCGGAGTGGTAAACCTTACCAGGAGAGTGGTGGCGGAAAAGCAGCAGGAATATACTCTACACATAGCAGCCGAAGATGGCGGGAGTCCTCCTCTGACTTCCTTGCTGATGTTGACAGTGGTTATTGAAGAGCAGAAGATGGGCCCTACTTTGGTCTTCCAAAGCTTGGTATATCAAGTAGAAGTCAGTGAAGCTACATCTCCAGGTGCCCAAATCCTTCAGGTTCAAGCCCACTCCCTTGATACACACAGTGATACCTCCAATCTGACATATTCCTTAGAGCCTAGCACTGATTCCGTTGCATTTGGAATCAGCTCTGATACTGGCTGGATTTATCTTCGGAAACACTTGAACTATGAATGCGCACAGATGCTGAGTTTTAGAGCCTTGGTCAGCACGTCTGAGGATGCAAACCTTAGGCAAAATGGAAGTACATCTATAGTAGTTAACGTCCTGGATGAAAATGATCATTCTCCCATGTTTTTGCGTGAGAGCTACTTCTTTGAAATTGAAGAAAATCCGATTCCCAGTGGTGTGGTTGGCACCATTAGAGCTGTTGACAAAGACTCAGGAAGAAATGGACAGCTTTCCTATTTCCTCTTGTCTGATGGAAAGTATTTCAAGATGAATTCCAACACAGGTAGCATTTTATGATTTGTAATCTGCCTAATATTACTTTTGCAAAGCAGCCTTCCCTAAGGGTATGGAATTAAAGTATAAAGCTTCCAGAAACTGCTGTGGATCTTTGGGGTTGATATATGAATATTTTAACTCAGAGTGTCACAATTTGGGGAATGAAATAAACCAAATATATTTTCATGAAGAATGGACTGGCCCTTAGGAATTTTTTTTCATGAATTTGTTCAGGTCACTTGATCATAAGTTTTGGTGTTTGGCTGAAACAAATTGAAAGTAGAAGTTTTAAGTTATAGCTTCAGTAGTTCATATGAGAAAAATTTTTACCTGTGATCAAGTAGAGTTGAAAAGTACAAATCAGCCATAAGTAACTATAAATGTACTTATGAAGTTGGACAAAGTGATTTAAAATACTTGTAAATGGTTCTGTAACTGACATCAAAACTGAGTTCATGTTGTACATGGCATCAAAGAAGTCAAACTGGCTAAGAGAAATTTTTCACAGCATAGGATGTACTCTGCAGTGAGTACCAAATGCCTCAAGTAATAGGGGTTATGTCTACACAGTATAACACCAGAGACCAGAGCATGGAGAGCCTAAAGGAAGGGAATTCTTCAAGGGATACAGGCAGCGTAAATAATCCAGTTTCGCAAAATGCTATGTAGGAAGCGATGATCTGCTGTTTAAAATTCCTGTTTCCAGATGTCCAGTCCCCATGGGGAGTGAAAAGGCTTTTCCAGAATTTCTCTGTATGAATCTCAAAATAAAAACAGCTTTTGAGTACACTTATGGAACTTTACAGGCAAACAGAATACTAGGAGTTAACCAAGAACGTTTTTAAAAACCATGTGGTTGCCTGTGTGATAAGCTTTGGTCAACCACAAATCTCTGGCTGTATTGGGTATGGCTAAGCAGACAGGGAGAATATTGGTCAGATTTATTTGCTGGGTTTACCAGAATGTATGGGAGATGTAGGTGTTTATGATTAATGCACATAATTAATAAAGGCCCCTTGTCAGCACTTAAACCCCTGTGCTCATGTATTATCTGTCCTGGAGTGTGGTGAAGGCCAGATGGATTTCTTTGGAAGGTCAGCACTTTGGTTCATACTGTTTGATACCTTTGCTCTGGGGCACACAGTGTACAGTAAAACGTGTCAATAGGGCACTGAAGTGCATATACAAAACTATGATTGACAGAATGTTTCTGCAGGATGGGGTTTGGAAAGCTAAGGTTTTCATGTCGATGATCAGGTGTATCAGAGGGCACTTATCATTATTTCACATTAAATTAAATCATAATTGGACACACTTAGATGAGTGCTAGCACACAGTAAACACCTAACTCTATTTCTCCCCCCTTTTCTTTGGCCGTCAGGTGAAATAATAAACTGGGTGGCGCTGGACCATGAGGAGCAGGCGCACCACGAGCTGCGGGTGCTGGTGATGGATGCGGGGCGGCCCCGGCGCAGCGCCACGGCCGCCGTGCACATCGCAGTGCGCGACCGCAATGATCACGCGCCGCGCTTCCCACAGGGGGCACTGCGCCGACAGGTGGGGCAGAACACTGTGCTTCCCGCAGGGGACGCTGTGCCGACAGGTGGGGCAGGGCACAGCACCGCGCTTCCCGCAGGGGGCGCTGCACTGACAGGTGGGGCAGGGGGCACTGCACTGTGCTTCCTGCAGGGGGCGCTGCACTGACAGGTGGGGCAGGGGGCACTGCACTGTGCTTCCCACAGGGAGCGCTGCACCAACAGGTAGGGCAGGGCACTGTACCGCGCTTCCCGCAGGGGGCACTGTGCCGACAGGTGGGGCAGGGCACCATGCAGCGCCACCCCGTGGCCGCACCACACACTGCGGGTCCTCCCAAACCGGGGCGCTGCACACTGCCAGATCTAAAGGGTTGCATGAGCCTAACTCTGTTCACGTGTGCACTGGAATCCCTTTTGGTTTCTGATCTCTGAGTTTGCCATAGTAAAGATGTTCGAGTTAGTGTTCTATGCAGACTGTGACAGAGGGTTGCTGGAACTCTGTTGTTTAACTATCTCCTGAAATGCTCATTGCACACTCTAAATATTACTGAAATGGAAAATAGTGCAGCAGCTAAACTCTTGTGTTATGGCAAGGGATTTGTTTTAAGATGACTTTATCCGTGTATAATTTCAAATCATATATGAACTGCTTGGTAACAGGTTTTGGAAGGCCAGCCATCGGGGACACTTGTTGCCACCATCTTTGCAAAAGACTTTGATTCTGGAAACAACAGTGTTGTCTTATATTCAATAGAATCAGGTAAGAATTTCAAGGGTTAATTAATACAAAAAGGTACATTAAAATAACTAGCATTTTAGAAAAGCCATGTATCATACAAGATTTTATGTTTATTTTGTGTCAGGTAGAATAAAGCTGCCTTTGTAAATAGGAATCAGCACCACCATGTGTCTTACAAAGTATTTAAGGAAGTGTAAGCAGCTGCCTTTCCTCCCTTTGCTCTCTGCCCTATCTTTCATGTGGTTTGGTTGCTTCTGTGGTTGGCCAGAAAATGTTCAAGCAGCTCTCAGAAAAGACTAGGACCGTGATCTTTTATTGTACAGTTTAGTATTTCAGTCAGTTTAACATCTTAAAGGAAAAATGAACTCCTTTTCTCATGACCATTTGAAAATTATTTTCCTGCTAAAATAACAGTTTGTGACGGTCTGAGGGTCTGAGACGGGGATCAGAGGGATCAGCAGATAATCTGGACAAACAATGAGGTTTGTGGTTTTTGGTTCGGGTTTCACCCTTTGTTCAACAGTGTGTTAACCTGACATAGTGTGGCCCCTTAAAAACACTTCCCTTTAGTTTTCCCCATAATTCCTGCATGTGATAGTTCACTTCTGGGGTAAGTGGTAGGATTCAGTTTTGTTTGCAGTGAAATTAATAACAGAGCAGTCCCAAGTTAGAACATGAGTGGGACTGGGACATTAATACTGGTAGGAGACATAGCTGTGATGTCTGGATTTGCTGCATACCACTTGCTATGCTTCCATAAACGTGAGAACTCCATCTATAACCAGGAAGGAAAACAGGTCTGTTCCTCCTGCTTTCCTTCACTATTGCTTCAAAACAGTAAGAGTTCCCAGGAGCAGGACTATTTCTTTTTTGTTTGGTTTCTGTTCTGTTCTACCAGTTTTATGTAACCAATACTTTTTAAGCTTGAGATTCGTAATCTATGGTAATTTGCATGTAGATCTTACAGTTTCATCAGAGCAAGAAAACATAATTCCCTTAATTTGAATATAAATGACTGCCTATTCCAGAGGGAATTGGATGGTATCTTAGACTTCTGCATAGTGAGTAAGAATATTTTGCACAAAAAAAGTTCCCCCTTGTGAAAAGGGGATGAGCAGTGTGCAACCCTTTGTTTGAAGAGTGATGGCCAGGCAATACAGTAAGTGTTTTTCAGGGGTCTCTGCCTGTTCATGTATCTAACTGTATCCCCTTCCTTCAAACAGCACATTGGATTTTCTTACTGGCTTCACTGTAGAGCCCCCAGAGGGGAGTAAGTAAGAGTTCAAATTATAAAAATGACTAGCAACACAAAATATGACTGGTCTTGCAAAAGCTGTCTCTGGAAAGAACAAAAACATAAAAACAGCAGCAAACACACCCCCATCTCCCCCCATTTCAAATGCAAAAAACCACTAAAAATCCCTCCCAGCCTTGGAACTAGATATTTTCCTGATAAACAAATCCAGAAACAGCTGAGCTTCTCTGATACTAATTTTTGTTGTTGTTAGTTGGCTCACAACCTTTAACATCTGGTCTTCTGTTTCATGGTGAAGTTTTTGCCTGGTTTATATTTAAAATAGTATTTTCTTGTTCTGGGACACTGTTCAGCACTTAAATATGAAGAAGAAACATGATCTGATTTACAGCCATGTTTGTTAAACAGAGAGACAGCAGGTTAATTGGAGAACTCCATGCAGACCAGTGCTCTATTCTTCAGTCATGGGGCTGACGCAACATGGAGAGCTGCGAGTGTCAGTGTCAGCTGTTAAGCTTGTACATGTTGCTGGGTAACTTTTAATGTTCTTGAGATCTTAAAGAAATTTCAAGATAGGAGCAATATATTGAGCTATGTAGAAATGTTAATGATAAATGCCAACAAAATACATGAGGGCAAATCTGTAAAAGAACTATGAGGTTTACGCACCAGTTAAATTTTAGGTTAGAGGGAAGTGTTTCCTTCAAAATGCCCCTTCCTCTTCCTAGAAAATCAAAGCAAACCATGCTTTAAAAATGTATATACATCAAAGTGGATAGTCATATGACCCTTCTTCCACTTCTGTGTTATCACTAACTCGGAGTTAATCCCAGCTGTGTGTACTCTTTACTCCTTAGTGATGCTGGCAGTCAGAAAGTGATTTGCCTGGTCTTCTTTATGACTGTCAATAGGATATAGTATAGCATTTATAACAGAAATTAGTGTGCATTTATAGGGCATCTGGAACTACTGCCTTGTGTGTTGAGTCTAGCATTCACAGAGGCTTTTACAATTATATTTGGAGCAATTATGTGAATGCAACATTAGCCCTTGACTACACAAGTGCCAAGAGAAGCCTAGTTACACTGCTACCATGCACAAATTGGCAAGTGCTGTCCATGTGTCTGTGAAGAAGTCCTTGTTCTCCATAATGACTTGCAAGCAGCGTACAGGGAGCATTCACAGACTTGCAGAGGGCTACATTTCTGCACAAGCCCTCATCATGTTCAGGTTCTTTGGGAGCCATGGCCTTGCCTTCCTCTTTTCCGTTAAAGGAAACAACTTCTCCATGATCTCAATGGAGAAGGACATGGTCCGGGCACTAAGTATTTTAACGCCTAGGAAAGAAATAGTTGTTCAGGAAATTAGGTAAAAATACATATAGCTAACTATGACTGTGTGCTGAGGTCACTAATCTCTGAGAAATCTCTAGTGTTATTTTCTGTCTGCTTTCTGGGCCATTTTGCCTAAATGCCAGTTTCTGTAAGGCCTGAATGTTCAGCCAGCCAAAATTCACAGTAACGCATTGCTTGGTATTTCTCAGGGCACCATTGTTTTTTTCTTATTGGTTCTAAACTACAAATTCTCTGAACATCTTTGAGACCACAGAGCTGAAAGAGTGTCTGAGTTTTGGAGAACCTCATGTAAATGAAAGTCTGGCCAACAGTTGGACAAGACAGAGGTGAAAAATTTAATTGTAAAAACAGATATATTTATTGGCAGGTTACTTCTGCAAGCTCAAGAAGAGGCTGGAGCCATTGGAGTCTAGTTTTTGAGAGAGTCAATTTTCTTCATCTGCTCTTTCCACTTTCCTTATTTCTTATCCATTTCTCATATACTTTCTTCATTTTCCCCTCAGATGTAAAAGGACATATTTAGAGTGTTCGATATAAGCAGCAGTTGTCTAATTCAGGTAACTTATGGAGATGAGAGCTAAGGAAATATTTGTGGAAGAGCAGCAAGCATGAGCTTTTAGACCAATGACTGACATGCTGTATAGGTGTTAAACTTTTTCCCAGTGTAAAAGCTTTTTCTGAATTTCAATCAAATGGCTACACTTGGAATATTAAATAAAAGTATTTAAAAAATATATTGATAAAAATACCAAAAAACCAGACATGGGGCATTTCAGTTTTGACTGTCTTTATAATGTGTAATCAGATAAAAAAATGAAAACATGAAACACTTACAAAATGGAAGTCCCAAGGGGTTTTTCTTCTATACAGTGTCTCTTTCCAATATTTTCAGACTTTTTACCACCAAAATATGCACAAAACTATTTCATGCAATATCTGATTTTTAGTGTAACTCTAAGTGTAGGTTTTAGCAAAATACTGAAAATATATGCATGCAATTCACATTGTGTTCTGTTTCTCATATCTCCTATGACTTTTGCCTAGCTGGGATTTTGTGTCATTAAACATTATATGGAACTAAGTAGCAGATCTATGACAGTAGACATCTTGTTGGGACCTACACTAGGAAAGTAAACCAAAAGCTATTTATGAAAAGAGTGATATAGCATTAATATTTTGAAACTACCATGAAAAATGCAAGACTGTCTCATTCAATAGAATTGTCTTTATATATTGTTTCCTTTTGTTTTCCGTGTTAATGTTCCAGGCAGCAAGACTCAACTCAGAAGGGACTGATGGAGAATTAGAAAGCTATATTCATGCAAAAATAGCAGAACAATGTTGAAAAAAACTCCTATTTATTGGTTGTGAAAACCCAGTTTTCCAGTTTGTTTGCTAAATGTTTTTTTTCTTCAAATGTTACAGGTGCAAATATTTAACAGTGGCAGATGATATAATTGGATACAAAAGTGAACATCTATATGTGCAGTTAACTAATTTGAGTGTCCAGATTTGGAGAACGTCAACAGCTTCATGCTCACTTAGGTGTCTATGGAAATATAGTTATGTGTGTTTTGTGTGCTACATCTGCACTGAATTTATTTTTCCCCAGTTGCTTACTGCAGGAGTGGCTGTTATGCTGCAGGACTTTGTTTAACCTGCTAGCGCACCTTACTGAAAATTCACATAACAGAAAGCTGTTTGGATAGTATTCTAAGAGACAAGTACTTACAACAATTGTGATTTTCTCAGTTTCTGGTGATGTATACAGAGTAGTAGATATTTCCCAGTAAAATTTGAAAGTAATTTGTATTCTATTTCTTGAACATGGGGGAACTATGTATCAGTCTCTTTTCCCAGGGCAGGTTTAGATTGAAAAAATTTCTTTACTTAATTGTTTGCCAAGCATTGGAGCAGGCTTCCTAGGGAGGTAGTGGAGTCATCATCCCCAAAGGTATTTAAAATACATGTAGGCATGGTACTTAGGGACATGGTTTTGGGAATTTGGCAGTATTGGGTTAAAGGTTCCACTTGATGATCTTAAGGATCTTTTCTTCAACTTAAATGATTCTCTAATTCTAAGTCAAGAAGAGCTATTTATTAATCTGTGGTAAAGTTATTCTTTGCAACTCTCAAATAAATGATGTGGCTGCAAGTAATAACTTCAATTAAAAGCCACTTATTATTGGAGTGCCACCAGTCCTCGATGAAAGATATGAGCATAATTTCCAGTATTCACATGTTGCTCTGCAACAGCTTGCTGTAAGATTGTGGCTATCCCCATCTGGCTGCTGGTACAGAGCACAGGGAGGGCAGGTGGCATGGCTGCAGTCACGGTGTATCATAGGGGTCAACAGTACTCTTTGCTGGCCCTGTAATCTGTGAGTCACAGGAGATAGTTTACCCTTCATGCCAGTTTGGAGACTAAGACTTAATTCTTTCTCTGGCCCTGTCTGCAAAGGTTAGAAATAGGGGGACCAGTCCTGGGCTATCTGTAACCTTCATGATGCACGCACCACTGGTGTGAGTAAAGTTGGTACAAAACTGGGCAGTTGCTTTAGTACTCTATGGAGTTTCTCTCCATATTTTTCTAAATCCACATTAAGTGGTTTATAATAAGTAAGTACTCAATGAAGGAAGAGGAGGTGAACCAAAAAAGCCAGAGAGATCCAAATGAGTGCTGCAAGTTCCTATCCTCTGGGTCCTGCTCTTTTTCACTGTTCATTACAATGTTCAGTACTATGGAGGCAAGCTGTTACTGATTTTCAATAGCACATGTCCATTTTTACCCCACAGAAGAGGATATAGGATACTTCCAGATTGATGCTGTCAGTGGAGAGTTAAGAACAACCCGGCCTCTGTCATATGCTGAGAGATCTGACTACAGAATGATGGTGATAGCCAAGGACCAGGGGATGCCTTCGCTTCAAGGCCATGCTGCTGTTTACATCCAGGTACTTATTTACCTTGTGCAGATAGAGCAATTGTGTTAAATGCTTAGTTTCTTTGAAGAAAAAAAAAATTGGAAGAAGGTTGGGAAACAGAAAAAAGGAAGAAGCTCAAAATTGTAAGCACCTTGTCTCATGGTAATTTTCTTTAGCTGTTTTTCTGTTGAGAGAGGAAATGAGAGGGCACATCATTTTGATTTGTTAAGAATGCACAACAGCATTTGGGATCATCTTGCAAATAGATGATGCTTGTGCTTTAGGAGATCATTGGAAACACTGGGAAATAGGAGGAAAATATCCAGGTAGGCAGAGAGAAAAATATCAAGTGGGACTGAAAGTGGGGAAGAGAGTAGATTTGTTCCCTTCACTAAGTTGCTCTCTTTTCTAAATTTTGTCTCTAGAACCTTGTATAAGGATATCTTATTTCTTTGTGGTGATTTATATGGGGTGGGCTCCTCATGGGAGTGTGAAATGCAGCATGTGCTCATTCCATAGCCAGCCACCTGCTGTTCATTGAGCCCCAGTGGGGCTGCTTTGTCCAGGCTGCCTGTGCACTCCTCTGTCAGAGACTGAATGTTATTGAGGCTGCTATTTTCAAGTCACCCTAAAGATGATTAATTTTGGATAGCTTGTAGCTTCAGTCTGGGCAAGGCAAATGCTGTTCCTACAATTAAAGAGAGTTAAAGGACTTCTCTCCCTGAGCAACGGGAGAAGCACCAGTGATTAACTGATTGTAAACCCCATTCCCTGTCTCCCTGCACCCCTGGAGGAGGAGGGAGGGGTGGAAGGAAGGTGTGTTTTTAAGCTCTTATTGTACTTCTCATCCTGCTCTGATTTTGTTAGCAATAAGTTTAGTTAATATCTCTATTTCTAGTCTGTTTTGGCTGTGATGGTATTTGCTGAGTGACCTCTCCTGGTCGTTATCTCAGCTCATGAACTTTCATTATGTTTCCTGTCCCCTGTCCAGTGGCAGAGAGGAGTGAAAAAGCAGCTTTGCTGGTGCCTGGCATCCAGCCAGGGTCAGCCCACTACACATTACAATATTAATAATAACAGTGGGAAAATATTGCAATCCTTGTGTTTTGGTTGCAGGTGATCCCACTTCCCAACGGGAGACCTGGCTTCTTTCAGAACTTCAAGCACTTTGTCCTACCTGAAAATTTTAAACCTGCACAAGTGTTGGATTCTCTGAAGGCATTGAGTAACCATCTAGCACTTAACAGGAAACTGCATTTCAGTATTGCTAAGGATTATAATGTTCATTTTGAAGTAGACAGCATAACAGGAGACCTTTATCTTTCCAAGGAGCTCGACTATGAAACAGATTCACACTTTCTTTTGCAAGTTATTATAAAGGATTATAATAATCCTCCACAAAATAGCACCGTCTTCCTAAGTATTGATGTGGAAGATAAAAATGATCATTCTCCACATTTTCAAGATGACTTTGTAGTGATTGGCATAGAAGAAAATGTACCTGTTGGCACTCTAGTTTACACATTCAATGCAAAGGATGGAGATGGCGGTTTTCTGAACAGCAAAATAGAGTATTCCTTAGAAATAAGTAACACAGGTGAAAATCCATTTCTTATTCACCCTTTGTATGGCACCTTGACCACAGCTTCTCCACTGGACAGGGAGATTACTCGTTCTGTGATCTTGACGGTGTTTGCAGAAGATCAGGCAATAAACCTGACTGATCGTCAGCTGGATTCCTTGGCTGTCAAAATTGTTATTTTAGATATCAATGACAACAGTCCCAGTTTTACGTCTTCACCTCTTTCCTATGTCATGGAGGATGTGGAGGTGGGCTTCCTTGTACACCACATAGTTGCAAAGGATCCTGATGAGGGAACAAATGGACAGGTTACTTATCACATTCTTTCAGGCAATGAAAACAAAGCATTTGTACTGGATAAAATCACAGGTACGTGACTTTTCTTCTCTGGGGTTCCTTGTGTTGTGATTCTCACAGTAACATTTGGGAGTGCATACCATACAATAGTGAAATACCACATTAGTGTGCCACTCTGCCCAGGTGACTTATTGTCCTCAGGGGTAATTGCCTTGAGCAGAGCAGTGCAGAGCACAGTTGTCAAGCACTGTGAGACTCAGCTCAAAAATTTTGGCATAACACTGTTACTGTCTTGTGTAGGTGTACTGGGGCATTTTCCAATGGTGTATTGAGGAAGGTGGGAAGAAAATGCAACAGTGAAATACTTCATTCTGATTTTGGCATGATGTATACTTAAAGCATGTGCACACATGTACGTTACGATATATGCACATGCAGAAAGGCAAAGTTAAGATCAGAGAGTCTGCATTATACTGTGGATGGAATATGTTCAGTGGAGGCTCAAAGTGCTGATGAATTTCATTCTTCAGCCCTCTGTAAATCTCTTCTTTCTAACTATTATACTATGCTCTCACAAATGCTAATATCACTTTAATTGTTGTAATATTTTCTGGTTCTTATTCTGATTTTGAATCTATTAGGTGATGCAGCTTGCATTGGTTTGTGGAGCTCCTAACTGTGTAACTTATGTGCAAAAGAAGACAAATATTTAAGTTAAATATAGTTAAAAAGTTAAGCCCAAAGTTAAATAAAAAGCAATCTCTGAACTTCTGGAATTTTCCATGAATCCCAATTTCCCTGGATATCAAAGGCAGTATTTCTGGGCCAATTAGCACTGTAGAGGGAATCAAAGGTAATGAATGACTGCAAGTCCAGAAGCCTTGCAGCAGTGGCACGGTGATGCTACATTGCAGCTATGAGTGCTGGAACAGCTAGGATCCTAACCTGAAGCGGGATACTTTTTAAATGCCTTTTCTTCTTTAAACTAGGACTCTTAACTACAGCCCAGTTTCTAGACCGTGAGGTTCAGGAGCGCTACAGTTTGACTGTCATGGCTCTTGATGACGGCAGCCCAGCTCTCTCTGCCACACAAGTTCTAACCATCATTGTTCTTGATGTGAATGATGAAGCCCCGGGATTCCTGCAGCAACTTTATGAGACTGCAGTTCCTGAAAACCGAGATCCAGGGGAGTTTGTCATAAGAGTAGAGGCAGTGGACCGAGATGCAGGTAATTTGTGTCCTTCTGTTGTAATTTACAGACCAATCCAATCTTGATGCCTTGTGTGTACAGCTGCTGTGCTTTTCCCAAAATAATGTATGTCTTTTGAGTTTCCAAATATGAGTTTTGGTTCAGACTCTCAATCTTAAATTAGAGCTTGTAACTATTCTGACTTGCACTTTGGGGTAGCTTCAGCTCTGATGGTTTTATTAAATGTAAAATGTGTTCACAGCATATTGTAGATTTCACATGAAGAAAGACAACGTTCTCTGGTTATAAATCAGCAAACAATATTCAACTCAAAGTTAATATCTGAACATTTTGTCGCTCTCAATCAGAGCATTTTGGATAGTTGTAAAGCAGTTAGTCTAGAGTCCTGGTTTTGTAACAGAGCTGCAAATGTGCGCTTATCTTTTCTGACCAGAGAGGGGCACTGTCATCCAAGATTTTCAAGCTGGTTGAGCTGTAAAGGGATAGTGGAAACTGCTCAGGGTTTTAAAGACGCTTTATACATGCTAAAGAGTGTTAATGCATTACATTTCAAAAATACACAGAATGGAGAAATAAGATGTGGGGATGGTTCATCTCCTCAGTGAATCACATGTAAGGACTAAACCTGAGTCTGCTAAGCGACAAAAAATTCCCTCCAGTTCTTCAACTACCTGCTCTTTTGAACTGTCTAAAATGCACAGCATATGATGTTACAGTTAGTCCATGTGCTGGAGCACTTACACAAGGTCTGTGTGATAAATAATAAAATCTGGAAAGAGAGTTAAATATTACAATACTGCCATCTTTGGCCCAAAGGTTGTCTCAGCTCTGTAAATCACTTAATTTTTACTGTGGGTTCACTTTCTGTACTTTCTTTAGAATTGTGTAAGATTGTGCTATCTTAAAAACAGATAATGAAACTTGTTAGCAAAATAATCTTATGTATTCAGTAAGATTTGTAATTTTAATGTAGAACACATATTGATTACAAAAGGCTGATGTGGGATCAGTAGAGGTATTATATAGAAAAGACATTTCCCCACAAGTATGTAACGTATTTAGAGATTAGGAATGTGTAGGTATCCCTGTCTGTTATGATCTCCAAAATTACTACAGTACAAGCTGAGCTGTACTGTAGTCTGCCTCTGTATCTCACTCTTGGAAATATTTTCTTTCTTTTGTGGATCACAAAAAAGTTGATACTTGAAGAAAGGTTTGGAAGATAAAGAAGACAACTGAGAATTTGCTTGAATTCTTCTCCCTCCTTTTCCATCCCTTATATTTTTTTCGCATCTTGTGGGAAATACAGCAGAAAGGAACTTTCCAGAGCAGTTAGTGGGAGGGAGTCAGGGTGGCTTGGCAGGGTGGAGAGGAAGGGCATTCCAAGTGTAGTGGGTGGCACAGTGTGTGCCTGCCTGCGCAGACACTTTGGGCTGGAGCTCTGTTGTGGCTGATTGTTCCTTCCTGCTAGTTTTTTGAAGTACATTTTCCAGTAACCACAGTCCTTCTGTTGGGTCTTTTTCTTACATTTGCATGATTTGGCCCCATGTCGTGGGTGTGTCACACTATTGTTTCAAATTAATATTGAAGTGATGTTCCTAATGTAAGAAAATTTGATTTATATAGGAGTCATATAAATATAATGCTACTCAATTTTCTTACATTTTTGGAACACAGTTTTGGAATAAAATGACTCCTGTCATGGTGTCCTTTTTTTTTGTTTTTCCTTACTCTGAATTGCAGTTCGCATCCCATTAATATTTGCATAGTCTCAGTGGAGGACTTTCTCCCATCACACTTTTTTGTTCTCTTTGTATGTTCCCTGAGTGACCACTGGGAGGAACCAGTCATTATCAACTTTTTGTTTTCTTTTCCTTTCTTCTTCAATCTCTGTGACTGGAAGGGGGTCTTTTTTTGAGGAAATCACAAGTAAAACTTCTGACTTTGGAATGGTTGTCTTTCACATGAATATCCCTGAAGACTTTTGTTCAGCTACCTCCCTCCTGTATGTTACAACACCTGCACTTACTGCATCTCTATGTTGCCTTACTCTGGGAGCCTTTAGGGATCCCGCCATGCCCTCATCCCTACCCAGCTGACATCTGACAGCTCAACATCAGCAAATACAAGTGTAAAAGATGATAACATTTGAAAATATGCATGTTGGAAAAATACATATGGCAAAGCAAAGATATCAGCAGCATATTTAAGATAGGTCAGGGTTTTTTCTTGAGGTAGGTCTTTGCAGAAGACTAAACTAGCAAACCAAACTAGCATTTGGCAAGGCCTCCTTTTAATCTGATGTGCACCTCTGTGGTTCAATAGTTATGTCTGGAGCCTTAGGAAAAAAATCTTAAAAGATTAATAGGAACCATTGACTTTGAGTTATGAGACAGGGCTTACTGCCATCCATTAGACGTTATTGTAAAGTCCTATAAAGATGAAATCTGGATCTTGAATCTGGATTTGGGGCAGGGGAGACATTTTTTATTTCAGTTTTCAATTTCAGCTCCTAAAGTGTGACCAGTGCTACTGAATAATTAACCAGCAGGTTGGATTGAGTGCAAATGTGCTAGCTGCTGTGCTGTGTTCACATGTAGAGTCAGCATGCTCCTCTTCTGGGCAGCTGTGCAGCTTTTTCCTAATGCTACCTTACACTCCTAGCAGTTGGATATGGGAAAGGAGTCAGTAAATCTTTGGTAAATAAATGTAATTAAGATGTCACATATCTGTGTTTTTTAAGGGTTAAAAGTTTTAACTTCAGCATTGTGTGAACAGTCAACTTGGATGGCACCCATGTTTTTTCAGCCCTGGTTGTGAATAGTGTCCATTGTGGAATCTGCTGGAGAAGGAACTGGGTTGAAGCAGCTCAATTGCAGGAGGCAAGAAGCTAATATTGTCAGACCTGCAGCTTTTGTGTCTCTGTTTTTTCGTCTGTAGCATATTGGTGATAAAGGATAGATAAATGCAAGCAGAACTGTGAGTAGCTTTTAAAATTTAGTTGAATGTTATCTGATATGGGCAGATCAGATAAATATATGTTAGTAACCTGAGACTTTGAAGACATTCACCTTGATTGTCCTCACTGATGTGATTTTTCTTCCTTCTTCTGTAAAGCTGAAAGGATTTCTGTAAGTCATTTTTCCTCCTGCTGTGTATTGTACACATCCCTCCCTTGACTTAGTTTAGGTGCAAATGCATTCACGGTAGTAATTCTCTTAATCAAATTTCAGTAGCACTGTCAACCACTTAGCAAAGCTATTCAAAGGCAAATGAAGTCAAGTATGTTAAAACCTGTAGACTCTGTTTCTTCCCTCACATTGTATTTCTCCATCAACTGCAGTGCAGATTGTCCTGTGCTTGTCTGCCGCAGATGAGAACAGGCAGGCAGTGTTTTCAAATGACTAGAAGTGTCATGTAGATTTTCAGGTGTACCAACTGTCTCTGCCCTACTCAAGGACTAATTCTGGGTGGGAAAAACACAGAATGGTTGACTGGAATGTAAGAAAATGAAAAAAAAATAGGGTACAATAGTCAAATCCTTCAGGTATAATGTAGGATTAAACTAATTAAAGGCAATAATATAGGTGTGATGGAGATGACATTATACTTTCCTTGGGAGGATATTGAAACGAGAAGAAATATGAAAGGAATTATCTTACAACCATAATAGGTAAGAATGTTGAGTCTCATTTCCTGTTCAACTAAGGTGGGCAACTTTGAAAGAAAGGTTTCTAAAATCTTTAAAAGTTTTAACCTATTCCCTGGAGGAAGATGGGAAAGCTAAAATCCCTGCACTATATACAACTGGTAGGTCTGATCAGGAACTGTATAGAATTGTCATTCAGAAGAATCTGGAGGGGAAAGAAAGAAACAAATAAGTATACCTGAATGTGAGGAGAGTTGCCATGTTTTACTAAGATTTCTATTCTGTTTTAAAGGGCTGAATTCCTTGCTTCAGTATGAAATCTTACCAGGAGCTGGTTATGAGCAATTCAAGATGAACTCGGACAGTGGAGAGCTCGTAACAGCTGCATCATTGGACAGGGAAACCCAGGAGGTTTTCAGTATTAAAGGTAGCAGTGTGAAATATCTGTGAATGCCTCTAGAGTGGGAAGTGAGAGGGAGTGAGGTGTTAATATCAGCATTACTTTTTTTCATGCCTTCTGAATTCAATGCATGTTGTAGGATTTTCCAGTACAGAAGAGCATATGCTTTTTTGCATAGCACAAATAACTCTTCTACTCTGATATTATTAAAGAACATCTATTGTTACAACCACTGAATGAAAATTGCTTTCTTTTTATTGATCTTAGTTTTGGTTCGGGACAGTGGAACTCCATCGCTGTCAAGCACAGTGACAGTAATCTGCACCGTGCTGGATGAAAATGATCACTCTCCCACATTTCTTCTTCCTCCCTCTGAGATATTTATTCCAGAGAACCAACAGCTTTCTGTTGTTTACATTATCCGGGCTGTAGATATGGATGCTGGCAATAATGGAGCTCTAAGATACAAAATAACTGGTAAGTTATATTCCATCATTTTGTCAGTATAAATCAGGGAAATATTTAAACAGCAGCATCCAAGTTTTAGGCTAGTCTTGACTTTACCAGGCCTCCTGAGCTCCCATGCTTCTTTTTAGTGGAAAAGAAAAGAGAGATCTTTCACCCCTTTGTCAGCACTCATAAGCACAACCCAGTCATACTTTCATTCTGCGTTCTGGATTTGAAATAGTGCAGAACAGTGAAACAAAAGAAAAAAAAAAACAAATGGTGGAATGAGGCATTAATCATGAAGGCATAATTTTTGTCCTTTTTGTTATAGTTGTAGAAGTCTGAATGTAAATATTCCCTTGAAAATATACCCAAGAATTAATTGAAATTTATTTATATAATGCTATTTATTAAATTTTATTTTGTGAGAGCTTCTTTCACCCAGCAATTAATAATGTCATACTTGGCTTCCCTCTTGCCAAACTCTCCTTGTATCTACTATGCCAATGTAAGCTCCACAGCTGTTCAAAGCCTCCTGTAGTATCTTTGGACAAGTACAACTTTGCTGTGCTTACTTTGGTTTGTGGCTCTCAGCAATAGCTCAAATGTAGGCAGAGAGCTACTGTGGTAAAAACCAACACATTTTTCTTTGAAGAAACAGTTATGAATTCCTTTTTTTCCTTGGTTTTAATGTTGTGATCTCTGACATTTAATTTCATTACCTTTGGTCTTTTTGCATGTTATAAAGTATGTAAGCCATTCACTGTTACTAGAATTGCTGAATTTTCAGTTGACTGCTTCATATTTATTCCCAGTGCTCCCGAATCATGACCTTGCCCAACTCTTGAATTCCAAGAGATAGATTTGTAGAAGAGAACTAGGAGCAAGCAATTACAATTGTCAGCAATGCTTCATAGATTTGTGGAATTTGTAACTAAGGTTGGGAAGAGGTCACTTCATGGAGCAGCCTAGATGCATGAGCTTTTATAAGGTGGTCTGGTTTGGGAAAAAAAGATATGCAGCTGGCCAAAAGGCCAGTCTGTAAATTGTTATGACTTTCTGCATTTGCTATCATTGCCTCTCACTGGTTTAAATGAAATACAGGTTTTAATTTGTATGAGAAATATAATATGTGAAAGGCACATGAGCTCACCAGCTATATGAGCATTGGACCTTGTTATTGCAATTAGTATAGAGCATTCACAAGGGGTTCTTTTTTAAAAGTAGTTATTAGTGATAATTTTTTTTTATGTGTTTGAAAGGTGGAAATGTTGGAGAATACTTCACACTAAATAACACATCAGGCAAGCTGCTGGTCACTCGTAGCTTAGACAGAGAAGACATCAGCAATTTCACTCTTGTAATTGAGTGCCATGACCTAGGCAGTCCCTTGAGAAGCTCCACTGCACAGCTCTATCTAACAGTCTTGGATGAAAATGATCACAGCCCCTTGTTTGCGAAGACCCAGTATCAAATCTCTGTGACAGAAGACCTGGAGGAAGGCTCAGCCATCCTGGACCTGTCTGCTTCTGATGAAGACGCTGGCCCGAATGGTGAAGTTATGTACTCCCTTATTGATGACACCTATGGAGCATTTGCCATCAATAGTGCCACAGGATCCATTGTTACTACAAAGGCACTGGACAGGGAGACCAAGTCCCAGTACACTTTTAGGGCTGTGGCAAGTGACTGTAGCCCCCATTTTCCGAGGAGCACCACTGTCAGTGTTGTGGTGCATGTTAATGATGCCAATGACAACAATCCTGTCTTTTTGCAGAATCCTATCGGGGTCTTTGTGCCTGCTGAAACTGCGGTGAATGAGACAGTTGCCACTGTGAGAGCAGAGGATGTGGATCTGGGATCAAATGGAGCTGTTGTTTTTAATTTGATGATGGCAGAAACTGTATTTCAGGTCGATGTGAAGACAGGTGACATCATTCTTCGGGAGCCCTTGGCTTCCAAGGGCTTCAGTACCCAGCTGCTAGTGACAGCTTCAGATCAAGGCATCACACCTCGAACAGCCACAGCTGTGGTCATTATCTTTACAGAAGAGCAAGAGGAGGTGATCTCATTCAGCCACAGCCTGTACGAAGCAAGTGTGCCTGAGAACAGTGCAGCAGGTGGGCATGAAATCCCTCTTCTTGTAGTCGCCAATCTCCCCTCTTTTTGGAATTGAAATTGCAATGAATAGTATAGGGAAACCTTTTTTTTATGTGCAGCAGCAGGGAAAAGTTAATGTGGATGTAGCCAATACCCATTTGCCCCTTTCAAATGCACCAGCATAAAAAAGATGCAATGGAGGAGGCATTGTCTCATCATCAGTGGGTTCATTCATTTAGCAAAATTGCTTTAATGATGGGTGGACAGCATTTACTTGTTGTTTTGCTGGGCAGTGCACACAAGCTCAGATGAGCTGGGTGTTGGGAACCAGTTGCAACCTGACGTTTCTTGTTTTCACAAAACCCTTCACAAACTGTAGCTTTCATAAATACCTTGCTGAAGTTTTAGACTTTGCAGAAGAAGGAGAAAGCGGAGTAGGATGGGGTAGGGAAGGTCCAAGGCTATTGGTACGTGGTCACTTGGACATGCTTCTACAGTGTCTCTCTAGGTAGAGACTGCACTATGGAATGCCACCTATAGACCAACCAGCTTCTGTCACAAGGTGCTTACAGATTTATTTGGATTTGTTCTGGATATTGATGACAATTACTGCGCTACTTTTTACCATTCAAAGAACATTAATAGTTATCCCTCCAGCCAATTAGATGTGGTATCTTCTCCTGCATCAGGGATTGGCTCTGTCCTGATGAGGGGCAGAAAGGAATGGCTTTTGCGTATTTCTGTCCGCAAATCTCACTATATAATTGGCCAGATGTATTTAAAGATCTGACTTGCACTATAATCTCAATTAAAACAGCCCATGAGATGCCCCTTGAACAAGTAATTTCTCTTTTATAATTCAAACTTCCCTCGGTAAAACAAAAGCAGTATTCCCTTATATCCTAAGGGTTTTGTGAGACTAGTGGATTCCTAGATCTTGAGTAACAGCCTATATATTGGATTATGAATCAGTAAATAAGAAGTGTGTTAGTAATTTTGGAAAACCAATCAATATTGTTGGATGATTACAAACAGAAGAGAGAGTGAAGGGTGAAAATGGCTTCATGCAACTGATGGTCGCAGTAATTACTGCTGTGGTTATTCAGCCATTCCTTCCTCTGTGCTTGTTTGGGACTACAAGCCAAATTTTTTAATTGTTACATTTAATGAAAGAAAATAAAGATCAGAGCTTTATGGCAATAGATAAACTGCTCTGATCCTAGACTTTTTTTAAGTGTAGATGTGTTCCTGGATCAGGCTAAAAAGCCAGCCTGAAATTAGAGAAATGCCCCAAGGAACTGTGGTATCAGAATGCCATTGTGTTCTCCCATTCAATCTATAGAAATATAATTAAGATTCAATTTAAGTTGTTTTGATTAAAGGAAATTTAGCAAAGCTTCAGGGTAAACAGGCAGATTTGATCACAAAATGTTAGTTTGTGTTTAATAATACTCTTATTTGCTAAGAAGATCAAATTCTTCTAAGAATATGAGAGATTTTACCAAATACTAGTACCGCTTGTCTTTGTTTATACTATTTTCCTTTTTTCATAAGCATAAATAAATATCAAATATTTTACATTTCAGTGGGGAAGAAAAGCATGATTGTAATTAAAACTCTCATAGAAGTTAGCTTATAGGATAGATGTGATCCTGGGACCCCTACAAACGTGAATGGTACCAGTGTATTCAGTCCAGGGAAGATTTACATTACATACTGATTATTTGTAGAACTGGTATTAATAAATGTGGCTTCTCTTCATAATTTTATTTCTGCCTTAACTGATGGAGGGGAAAAATGCTATGTTTATTTTAAAAAGAATAAAAAATGTGAATAATATAAGCAACAAAAAAACCAAAGCCAAGGGTCCTTAGTTTTAATTTAGTCTAAACCCATCAAATAGGCAAGTGCCTCAGGAACTGGTCCTTGTGGTCACATTTTCTTTAAGTGTTTAACTTCCAAGTTTAATGACCTTTAGAAAACCCCACTTTTCTAATTTTTTTTGTTTAATATTGAATATTTAATGTCTTTAAATACTATAAACTGTTCTACAGCAGACACTTAGAAGCTAATCAATAAATAATCAAGTGACTGTGCTCTTCAGAGGGTAAAAAACCTTTATTATTTACCCAACTTTTAGTTGAATGGTTGTTTGCATAACACTTGGAGATGGATTGACCAGTAAAACTTCTTGACTCCTCTATTTTCTTTTTGTATTAGATATCAGATATGTATCCCCTCATTCTTTAAGTCAAAGAATCACAGAATGGCTGAGGTTGGGTTAGGATTAGGGACCAAAAGGGTCATCTGGTGCCACCTCCCTGCTCAAGCAGGGTTATCACAGAGCGCATGGCACAGGATTGTGTCCAGATGGTTCTTGAATCATTATCTCCGTGCTCAGCTTTTCATTTCATGGCAATTAAGAGGTCTGAAGAAATAATGGCAAGGATGAACACAGGTTAGATGGCAGAGAACAGTGAAAAGAGACTACTATAATGAGGATTGAAGAAAGTGCTACAGTGATACAGCAGCTCGGTGTGATGCTGGTGTTAGGACATAGATATAAAAAAAAGCCCTATATATAAAACATATATGCCCTAACAAAGAATTCAGCAAGTGTTTTGGAGCTGATTTGGCCAGGTAGGCAAATGCTGTTCACTCTGCCATGTTTTGGGTTTGAGTCTGTAGGCGTAATGGTGGGATCTAGGCTGTATAAAACAGTTTGAGATACTTCCATATGCAGTCAGAAGGTATGCAGAAAAAAACATTTTAAAAACCCTGAAAAAACCCTGGATTTTACATATTTTACACCACTCTTCATGTCTTTCAATATTTTTTACTAATTCAGAGGTCAATTGCCTAGCATTTCAGGCCGATCTGACTGCTTTTGCTTTGACCCTGATCTCCCTGCTGCCTTGCTCTATCTTCAGTGCTGAATGTGTTTTGCAGAGAGAAAGCTCCCTTTCACTGATTTCTCTCTGTTAAGAGTTACATGATGTGACCTCTGCTTGAGGCAATGTCTGAATTGGGTGTGATTGGAATGGCAGGTTCAGCAGATGGACATTTTCTATTGCTCTTTATCTGTATAGGGCCTGTTTAGGCCACAGCTGACCTCACACTTTGGTCATATTTTTCTGACAATGAACTGTAAAAATTCACTGTTGGGAGTAATTGTTTTCTGTGAAGGGTATCAGAACAAGAGATTTGTACTCTGCTAAAAAGAAGCTGTAAACAATTCTATCTGCGTGAAAAATGTGGAGCTTAAAGATTAGGATAGGAGGACTCAGACAAAGAGTTTATTAACCTAACCTCTGAAAAACAAGGATACAAGTAGAAATGCTGCTGCTTCCTTTGTTTCTGATAGTATTTATTCTTAAACACACAAACAAACAAAAAGATGCAGAGTGTGTTAAAAGATAAAGAGGGATATTCTTCAGACCTTGGGGTTTTTTATCTCTAACTCTGCTGTGAGGATGGTGTGAATGATTGCCGTTGCAGCTTTCTGTAGTAAACCCAAGTTGCTTGGCAATGAAAATTCAACCTACAGGCCCTTTTTTTAGTCCCTAAAAAACTCTAGGTCAGCATTCATATATCTCTCTTTACATATTGAACAGATAGATGTTGATTCCAGAGCTTTTCTAGTAAATATCTTATAAGTATATTGACAAGTACGGAAAATCACATGTCAAAATTGGCGTGCTTTTTCTTTTGGCAGACAGATTTTGAAAGCAAATAGTAAACCCTTAATAGAAAAATTCTGGTTTCTAAAACATAATATGTAACTGCTGAAGTAAAAAAGATATCAGGTTATTGTAATAGCAAGGTTTCCTCTCATTTTTTGTACTAAAGCCTTTTCTGTGGCATCCAGAACACTGACTATGACCTTTGTGATACAATAAAATAACTAGTTACCTCTAATGCTGTTTGAAAGAGCTCATGTTGCCTCATTCCATTACAGCTGCATGAAAACAATTACAATTTAATTAAATAATTAAAAACATTAAAATCAATGGCCATATATGCTAGACAATTTTTTAAATCACTTGAAAATAATAATTATTTGGAAGTTGTGATAATGCCTTTTGAATTTACTATGTTTTTGTTAAATGTGTTGGTTCTGAGCAGGATAATTTGAGTTCCACATTTCCCCTTTTATTTTATTCCAAACAGGATTTCTGAATCATGTCTCCTGCATTCTATGTTAAATTATTGGTCTTTTCATGGAATTTGGATTATCTGTGAATTGCCCCATAGCTACACACATAATTTCATCTTTTCTTTCTCTTTATCAAAAGGTGGCTAATTAAAATTCTGAGGGATATTTAATTTAAGGTGCTGTTCAAAAAGCCAAATTGAATCCTGATAAATGGAGAAAAAAAAAAAAACAACTTTCTTGTCATTTGTGGGTGACATGATGTACCACAAACCAAAAAAAAATTAGATATGACTTCAGGCAAGAGAGAAGTCCAATGATTCGTGTGAGTTTGCAATTAGGAAAAGTTAAATCTCATAATTTTATTTAGGCAGGTAAAGTTGTTATCAGATGTGTAATTTACTGAGGAAGGAGGTATAGACAGTGCTTTGTCTATGAATTTGTTATATAGGAAAAATAACGGAGACTTATTCTTATTGTCTACTAAACTAATGAATGAGCACCTAACCTAGTACGAAGTTGTGTTTCTGCTATTTATATCAATGCTATAAAATTAGAACAAAACCTTCTAGGTTAACACGATGAAAATGTCTTATTGCTTCCATAGGTACATCACTTCTAACAGTAGAAGCCTATGAACACAAATTAACAGAAGACATAAAATATAGCATCTTCAATGACCAGGAAGTATTCTCCATACACCCTGTCACAGGTACATTTTATAATTTATTTCGAGTGTCTGTGTGTATTTTGGAGCATTAGCAAGTTCCTACCACAAGAACAAGGGCTAGATATCGTAAGAGTACTCCCTAGTAATAATTCTGTAGCAATGAGCAGGTCATTAGTAAATCCAGGCACTGTTGTAGACTTGAGGTAAAAAGGAATTGAGCACCAGTATACCTGTTTAAAGCACTCAGTTCTGATTTACTGTTGATCACCAAGTGTTGGGAGTTGATAAACTACTGCTTTGTCATTCAAGCTGAGATTCTAACTTGTTTCTCATCATACAGTTTCCCAAAAACTCAATAAACAAAATCCTTCAAAACACTTCTAAAGTAGAAGCATTAGACTCTTATTGATTTTAATGCTCTTTGTTTCAGGCAAACATCAACATGTTTTAAAGTCAAGCCTGTTTATTTTTTTTGTGAATGTACTTGTGTTCTGCAGCAGTTCCGCTTTCACCTGCTCTTTTGTCAGGAATTCCAGGTGCAGGAGGGTGAGGTGTTCCCCATGTGCAGTTACATTTTCTCCTCTACGACTCCTAAGAGAGCACAGCTACCCTGGTTACCTCTCGGCTCCTAAACAGCTGCAATATGTTTGCTTTCTGAATAGCTGCAGTCTCTCTTTTTTGGATGGCATATAGACAGTGTAAGCATTTTTCCTCAGAAACAGTGTAAATACTTGTACCCTTAATAAATAGCTTTATCCCTGAGATTCTGAAGACTTTACCTCTGATTATCATGATGTCTCCAGACAACAAATGGCGTACCACTAGAATAATGTTTTTAGATGAGGGGTGCTTGAAGTGCATACTTCTGATTTTCAAGTCCTTCTTATTTCACTGAAATAAAACTAGAGAGATTGGCCTTAAAGAACATCTTAGACCCAGACAGGCTTTTTACTGAGGAAGTGGATCTTTTCCAATATCACCTCAAAAAAAAAAAAAAAAGAAAATTCAAATGGTATTTTCTCTTTTTTTATCAAGCTGGGCTGAAAAATGGTTATGTGATGCTTTGAAGGGTCTCATAAGCACTGTCTTCACCAACAGGAGTGGAATTTCTATAGCAGTGAATGTCACAAGCCTTCTTTTGAGACCTTTGATCCATTGTGGTTTCTTCTCTTTCCTTTCCTCTGAAGCCTCTCTTGTGTTTCTTAGAAAAAATTAATTGAAGTTCAGCCTTTAAGGACTTTTGAAGAGCAGTGCTTGCATAACATAATTTTGATGCCAGTAATTCTCTACCTCTTGCTTCTACAGCAGAAGTATTATGAGCCATACCAAAATTTTGCCCTGTCTGTAATTCATATTCTGAACAGCCAAAGATCTGCTCTACTTGCCTTTTCTAGCACTGATGTTAATTAACCACACTTTGGAGAAGACTCTATACCATTTTCAAGTTTTTTATTATGATGTAGAGTTGTAGAAAGAGTAGGAGATGACTCAAAGACATGAACTAGCCTGTCCCTCCGATGCAGGAGGGGAATCAATTGTGCCAAAATATGACAGAAATTTGTACTGTCCTTAAAAACCATCAGGGACAGTGATTCTGCAAACCCTCTCAAAAGCCTGCAAAAGTCTTGGCAATTGGAAAGTTTTTATTCATATTTGTCTGAATGTTTGCTGAAATGTTTTAAACTTATTACTTCTTAATCTAGTAAGAGTAGACCTAAGACAAAGGCAACCCCCCTTTTATTTGCATATTTGAAGATTGTTACGCTGTTTTTTCTTCAAGTGCACTTCTGAAGAATGAGCAACTCTGGTTCTTTCACATGTTCCTCCTAGGTGGTGTACCTCAAACTTGATAAACTGATTATTTGTTTCAGTCTTCACTAGAACCTTTCAGTTTGCTCTCTGTCATCTGGAAATGTATTTCTTCTACCACTGTCTGTTTTCTTATCTCTGTAAACAGAATGTGATATTTTGAAGTGTTGTGCTGAAAATAAAACACCTTTGAAATCTTTATGCTCAAGATGCAGGTCTATAAACAATAGTTAATGTTTACTTATCCTAGAAAATAAAAAATGAAAAGCACTAGCTTGGGGAGCCACAGTTGATACATTTTTAAGATAGCTGAAGTTTGGAATAACAAGATGCATGACATCATTACTGAAAAGTCATGCAAAACTGAATTTGAATTCTAATTAAAATTAATATACAAATCAAGTATGTTTTATGCTTAGATGTAATGGAGAATTATGAGTATGTTTCTAGAACATTGAAACTGTCTATGGATTTCCAAAGACATTTCATGTTTAACGTGGAGGTGGCCAGTTGTGCTTGTCATCTCAATAAATCTCATTCTTTGTTTATTTTTGATGGAGTAACAGCTCAGGGGAAGGAGGCTCACTGCCTCAGAAGGAGTGAGTGTTTTGCCTGTGTGTCAGTCAGATACAGAAATTGCTACAGCTGTTGCCTGATGTGGATTTTGGTGGAGGACAAGATGTAGCCACTGTCAGATGAAGGACAAGAGTCTCTCCTGATGTGGCTGTCTCACTGTCGTGTACTGAGGAGGAAACATCATGCAGACACTTTGTCTCTATTCTTCTGCTAGCAAATTGGCTTAGTTTTTGGAAATTGCCATTGTAGTGGTGGTTGGTGAAAATTTAGCTATCCAAGATTTATTCAGTACCTAGGATGTTGGGGTGATAGTAGGTAGAAAAAGGACACAATGGCAAGCTTGCTAGAATTCTGTCCTGTGACCATGACCATGTATGTTTGGACATAACTGCATTTGTACATGTTTTTTCCTGAATGAGTATGTCACATCTTGAGATTTTTTTCTTCTTATAATAAACCAGGCACAATCACAGTAAAAGACCCAAAGTACCTTGATTATGAAGATAAACGTAAAATACATCTTACAGTTGTGGCTGAAAATAGCTTCCGTTCAGTGTTCTGTGGAGTGACAGTTTTGATTCAAGATGTGAATGACAATACACCTAAATTTGAGCAAAGCTATTACAAAGCATCAATATGGGAAGGCCAGAGTCCTAAAACAGACATCATACAGGTAAGTGAAAGTATATCTTCCCAAGCACAGTGCTGTAGTTCGAAAGAAGTTTGGCTGATCTGTTAATTAGTACAATCCTGTTAGCTCTGTCTTGGACCATTCTGTCTTAAAAACTGGGGGTAAGGATCTTGGTGTTGCTACTAGTCTGCTTGGATATCTAAAATATTACATGATTCTTTCTTCTAGACCATATTTCAGATCAGATAATTCATTCAGGTCTGTTGAGCTGAAAGAGAATTCTGTATCTTCTGGGCAACTGTGCACCTGGAATTTAAATTCTCTTTTTAAAAAAATTCTGTTTCTATCTTCAAGCAATTGAAAAATACCATTCAAATCTGTGGTTATGGTTACAATATAGGCTGGGTCTTGTATTAATGCCTCTACTGAAAGGACTATAGCAATAAAAAGAATACTTTCTACTCATCAGACTAGTAGAGTCAAACCCAAGTGTTCAATTTGAAATCTGCTGCCTAAAGGGCAGCTTGTCTTAATTTAAATGTGCAAACACTTCTTCCTCTGAATGGGTCCATTCTCCCAAAATGTTTCCAGCTGGCTGTGTTAGAGCAAAAGAAGACATCAGTTGGACTAGAAGAACATATAATTTCCTCAGTACGTGTTCTTGCATTGCAAGTCAGGTCACGGTGAGGGTCATATTAGGTACTAAAGATATTCCCTCTCCAGAGAATAAATAAATGAAAAGCTCCAGGGCAAAGTGATTAGAAACTGATGGACATTCTATTTAGAGAAACATATGTCCAGGAATGGAGAAAAATCAAAAGGCAGTCAAACCAGATGTGTAATCAAAATTTTATGACAGAATACATTCTATTATGTTTCTTTTACTTAATCTGACTTGTTGCCTCTGCTATGTTTTGGATCCCAGATTCATTATAATGCTTGTTCAGCAACAAAAAAGTACAAAGATGACTCTTCAAAGAATAAGAGGACTCTTTGAGTAACCTGTTCACTGCTGCTGAATGTTCCTTATTCTGTTGGCCAATCTTTACAGATTGCCTCTGCCCTTTTTACATTTTCTGGTTGGTATTTTTAAGAGGTAATTATTGAAATATTCTGTGAAATCTCTGAAAACATAGTAGTTTAATTATTTTATCCTTTGTCTGTTTGTATAGCAGCAATACTTTAAAGGTCAGTTCTGTACCACTGAGAGAGTGCATTTTTATGTGCTCAACAGGGAGAGCATTCTAACAGCAACCTAATAGTAAAATGATTGCGTTCAGCCCTAATGCTTTATGTAGCTGAATTTCAAATTATTCATTCATGTGCAGCCCATTGCAGTTCACGAGCAGATTTTGTGACCTTACACAACACTCAAACTGGGGACAAAGATGATTTATTTAAATACTTGCAGTTGAAAGGAAAGTAATCAGAAATATCTGACTGTAGTATAAGGGTTTTCCTTCTGAAATCATGTTCTACTGTTTTTAATTAAGCCTCAGGTTTGCTCACAAACAGGTATTTGCAACTGACCTTGACAGTGGGCTGAATGGAGAAACCGAATACTCAATTGTATCTGGTAATGAAAATGCGACATTTCTAATTGATTCAGCACGAGGAATTCTAGCAACTAATACAGGCCTAGATTATGAAAACGCTTCATCTTACAGGTTTGTATTTAAGGTTCCCATAAAAATGTATTCTTTTTGTCTAGTCTAACTTGAGAATATTAATGTTACATATTTCATAGTTTCCTGTTGATATCCATTACCCACAGAACCTGGGTGCAAGCCAGACAGCACTGAGAACAGCTGTAAATCCATAGATTCTTGTGTAGTTACCAAATTTAGAGAAAGAAATATAGTCTAGTTTAATCAATGACAACACGTATTGATATAAGTGTGATTATTCACTATAGGAACAATGACAGTTCCTGGATTTTAGTTTATTAATAACTGTAGAACCATTCCCTCTCTGGAAATGTACTTTATAAAGACACAGTGAAAACACTCAAATCAAATCCAAGAAATAGGGATATTTTCTCATTTTTATTTGATAGAGAGTTCAAGGTTTCTATTCAATAATGTGATAAAGACTCTTTTTAAACTATTTCTATCTATAACCTGTCCTGCAGTAAGTATTAACTTTTTCCTGTTTTTCTGAAACTCTGAATAAATATGGCCAAGTGGACATGACAATTTTCCTTTATGGGTCATTCCATGGTTGGAATCAGAAAGCAAATAAATAATGCCTTGAAGGGAAAATATTACTATGAAGATTCATTAACAGACCGATTTTAAGTACTGCAGTCTCCACAAAAAGTAGTATTTCTGCGTATATGTCAGTAAAAATTACTTTTTTTTCCCATCTGGTATCAATTAAAATATTTGCACATTTTCCTGTCCTGTGGGACCTCAAAGTTTTAAACTTCCAGTAAGAATTCTTATGAATGAGAATAAGTTGTAGAAAACCACATTCAAGAATATTGATAGAGTATGTGGGGTTTTTTTTAGTATCAGGCTGATTTGATAATAATGTCCCCAAAATACTTTGTTTTAACTTAATACAAAGGACACTTAATTTGGAGGATTTTTTTCAGTTTTTCACTGAATCAAATACATCAAATCTGATTTTCATAAATTTAATACATTTTATTTGCAACTAATACTTTAAAAGAACACCTGGATTAAGTCCTTCAAATGAAGGATGTTTACTGTTGGTGAAATGTTCAACATGGGAGCATAATAATTCTCATGTCTCACTTTAAGTGGGAGCCTGATTTATTTCCCTATCTATGTTAAAATTCTAGACTTTCAGTTTGACAGTTTGTTCAGGGAATCTGTGGCTTCATATTCCTTCTCTCTAAAACAAGTTATTAATCTGGACATTGTTAGGTGAAAAGTGAATAGCAAAAGAAACTTTCAAAAGTATTTCCTGTTTGATGTCAAAATGTTACTGTTTTTTTCCAATTTGCAAGGAGTTGTTTATATATCTGAATTGAACATTTTCATCCCCAGAAGTTCTAAGTCCCTTACAACATGGTTTATAATGAAAGTGTTGACAGAACCTTAATTTTAATGCCTTGGCTAAAATGTTTTTATGAGAGGCTTTTTTTCCTGAAACCTTAGAAAGTGATTATTTTTAGTAAAATATTTCCATATGTATACCTACCAATTTTCATTCTAGAAAAAATACACTTTCTATATGGAATTATGCATGGTCACTGATTGAATACTAGCCTGCAATTTAAGTTATCTTCTGTTGGATCAGAAACCACAAGGATACCCAGAGTAGTGGTGGTGTGGTCAAGGAATGGAAATCCTGTAAACCACAGCTTGAGTTAAAGCCTTGGCATTCTATATTGTCAAGTGAACATTTAGGAAGTAAAATATCTGTTTGACACTTTTTAACTGTTACTTAGAAGAAAAATGGAGAAATAAGATGCTCAGAAGATCTTTGGGGAGGCAAAAAAAAAAAATATGGTGCAACATGAAAACAGTGTTAGTACATGAAACATTTAATTAAGATGCACAACTTTGACCTGTATATCCTTTAGCCTAACTCATTGTTTCCTTTTTTTACTTTTTCTTTTTAAGATCACCTCTTGAGTTAGATTTAATTTTGAATTCATTTCTGGAATCTCCCCCACTAGGAAGTGGTAAAGTCTTCCAAATAATCTCAATTTACATTTGCTTTTTATTGTTCAGAAGCTGCTTTCCATAAAGAGTAAACATTTTATCCATGTTTATCATGTTGCTGCTCACCATTTATTTGCTTCATTTTTTGTGGAAAGGTTGTTTACAGAATATACAACCCATCCTTATTTAGATGTGAAATGGAAGTTTAAAGTCATAACTCTTCTAATCTGACACATGATTTTGATCCCACTAAAATCAGTGGGAACTTTGCCATTGTCAAATGGTGCACGTATTCAGGGTTTTCACTTTATCACTTGCATTTATAATGCAATTGAAGGGCTACTCTGTGTCTGCAGGCATTCTGGCCGAATACCATTTTGGATGTTTTTGTATTTTCCAATTTCCTCATCCCTTTTGTCCCTTTATAAACAATGAAGAGAGTCAAGTTGTTTATAATGATAAGTTAGTACTAAGGTTTTAATTCCTGCTCTGAATTACCAATGGAAGAACTATGTCTTATTTGAAAGAGTTGCTCAGCCACTTACATTTGGTATGAAACTGGATTAAATGAGTACAGACAAACACTTCCTTTTCTTTGTATGATTTTACTATTCTTTTGCCATGTAGAATCTCCTGGACATTTTTCGTGCAAAACCAAAATGTAAAATGGTGCACAGTCAACCTTACAGAAAGAAAGAAAGATGTAATTTAAGAGTTGCAATGAGGAACAGAAGTGGCTATTCTTTTTGGGTTTAAAACTTCCCCTGCTTATAATAGTGGTGCATAATTCAGTGATTTCTGATCAAAAGTGACAATTAGTGCCTCCTTTAATTGTAGGTTGGTTGTACAAGCTGCTGATAAAGGAAACCCCAGACTCTCTGCTACAACTATTGTGAGGATACAAGTGTTAGATGTTAATGACAATGCTCCAGTTGTCCAACCACTAGGTGAAGTGGAGGTCCCAGAAAGTAAGTGTGAATGTACAGCTGTTTCCTTCCTAACTCCTATGGCTAGGAATTCTCAGATAGTGATTTAGTGCTTTTGGTCATTTGTGTAACCAAACAACTGCAGTAAAAATTATAATGGGTAGTATTAAAGCTGAAATATTAAAGCAAATTTTGATCTGCTTTTATTCTCAGAGTCATTATTTTTAATCTTTACGTATTGTGGATAGTTTGGAATAAAACCATAGGCTATTTAAAAGGAGTGAAAAATCTGCAGAAATACAACTTGAATCTCTTCATTTTCATTATTGTATTCTTCATATGTCTTTGATTTCTGCTCTTCTCCAATAAAAATGTTTGGTGTTAAAACCAGCATTGCTAGAAATGAGACGTTTTGAACTTCACTGTGATGAAAGAAATACTTCCTATAAATTTGAATGTAGTGTTGCACAAGCTCTATAGCTAAGTCCAATTGATGATCATTAAGCGAAGGACTCAGGACCTCCTGAGTTCTCAACCCAGCATGCATCTTGTGTGTTGTGTGACATTAGCTCAAATCTGCACAGCTTGAGTCCTGGGCCTGTAATTTTCAAATACAGGCATCTTACAAGTGAATGCATTAAGATACATAGCAGAAAAATTATAAACACCAGTACTCCTCTTAACAAAAGATATCAAGTTTGTCTTTTCTGATATATTTTAGTCTTTCCTAAGTTTACCTGCCACTGGTAATGACAAGTACAGAATTCATAGATGCACAGCAGCTCTAAACTACAGGTTACTTAATTAATATTTTGTATTCCCCTTAAGAACTTACTTTAGGACATGGCACAGTATTTTTGAGGCTTCATGCCCAAGGTATGTAAATGAGAAATGGTTTTGCTTCTGTTAGTTTCAGGCTTTATGAAATCATCACTAATAGGTTCAGTTTGCAGTCTCTGGTACTGTCAAATTGGCCCGTGACAAAAGCTGTCTGTATCCAGTTTCTCAATCTTGTAGGATTATACCTTGATCTCTTCATAATTTTGTGCCATGTAGGCCTGTCTGAAGGCCTTGTTTCTCTCTAGTGGCCTTCTCTTCATTTGGAAAAGCTCCAGAATTGCATTTGCTGGTTCTACACAGATCAGCGTCTCTAATGCCTCAGTTAAATATTCTTGTGGCATTGTTCAGTAAATACCTGTCACATAAATGCTTGTGGAAAACTATCTAAGTTCCTGCTCCTGGTGAAGAAACTGTTATGACTACACTGGATCTGGGAAAGTCTAAAGAAAATCCAAATTAAAATTGGGATACAGCACATACCTTTGAAGAAATACACTACTGTTTCCATGGCTTTTCTGGATACTGTGATTATTGTAATACACAAAGTTTGAATACACCAAAAGCTATACAGAAAGATTAAATATATCCAAGATCCAATATTGAAATAGGCAAAATCTTCAGAAATGGTAACATTATCTTTTAACTCTGACTTATTCTCAAAATGATTGTTTCAGATGCCCTGCCTGGTTTTATAGTGACTCAAGTGTCAGCAAGTGATGCAGACTCCAGGCCAGCACTTCAGTTTGGTTTTATTTATGATAAGAGTCCTGAAATGAAATTTGCCATCGATCAGCATACTGGTGTCATCATAGTGGTGGAACCATTAGATTTTGAAGAAACTGCTGTGTATACTCTGCATATCATAGTTTCAGATTCTGTGCATCAAACAGAAGCAGAACTCACCATCCTTGTTTTGGACATCAATGATAACCCTCCAGTGTTTATTCAAGATTTTTATCAGGTGGGAACATGGCAAATGAACAGTCTGCATGTGGTATCTTTCCATATAGGATGATAAATAGTAGGAGTGCTTGTTCATATTTGCCTTTGAATGCATGTGAGCACTGAGAATAAAGGTCTCTGCAAACTATTACTGAGCAGAAACAGAGCAGAGCTCTTTTAGGGACCTCCAGCCCCTTCCTAAGAATTCTGCTAAAAGCACTGAGGAAACTGCTCACTTTCAATGTGTGGTCTCTGTCTTCAGACGGCAATTGGTGTGAATGCTAGCTCATAAACCATGCATTCATCACTAGGAGTTACTGGATACAACCCAATCCAGTTTGGGTAGCAGAGTCCAGTGTTCAGAACTTCTTTCTTCTGAGAGAATGCTAAACAATTTGGTACCTTTATACTGACCCACTTACTAGGGCATGAATTTCTTCATTTTCAGTTACACAGCTCCACAGGTGTAGTAATTGCCTTTGTGGTAGATGATGCATGTCAAGTTTGCAATGTGTAATGCTGCCTTATGGCTATGGCACTCACCTAGGGAGTGAAGGATATGAGTTTTGACCTCCCCAATATCCCTTGAGACTGAGGAGGGTACAGAGCTCTGCTTTTGGACTCCTGGACAAGCATTTGAACTGGTACTGTTGTAGAAGTGAGGTTGTGCAACAGTGAAAGCAAACCTTTTTGTGACTATGGACAGCTGTGGGCCATAAAGAAAAGTGCAGATTAAAGAAAGTGGAGCATATATAAAATGGAATCATTGAATCCTAGCATAGTTTGGGATGCATGGCATCTACAAACATTATCTAGTCCAAGTGCCTGACTGCTTCAGGGCTGACCAAAAGCTGAAGCATGCTGTTAAGGGCATTGGCCAAATGCCTCTTAAACAAGGACAGGCTTGAGGCATTGACCACCTCTTGAGGAAACCTGTTCCTGTGCTTGACCACCCTCTATGTAAAGAAATGTTTCAGCCTCAGGAAGAGGAGGCTCAGTTTTACCAATATGTTTAAATACTAGCGTGGGCAAGTAAAGATGGGCAAACCAAAGTCATCTCTGTTGAAGGACAGGAGGCAGTGGGCACAAATGGATGCACAAGAAGTTCTGTTTAAACATCAGGAAACTTTTTTCTTTTTTTTTTTCCCCTTCAAACTCTAACAGTGATTAAGCATTGGCACAGGTTGTCCAGAGAGGCTGGGGCATCTCTATCTCTGGAGGTATTCAAAACTCAGCAGTATGTAGTCGTGGGCACCCTGTTTCAGGTGACCCTACTCTGACCAAGGATTACACCTTGCAGGTACCCAACAACCCCAGCCATTCTGGAACTGAGCTGTTTGACTTGGTGCTTTTTGTGTGTGGTAGATGTCCTCAGAGCCAAAAATATGAGGCACCACAGAAGACTTGGTTTTAATAATGCTCCATTTGTAAGTCTCAGACAGTTTGAGTAAAGAAACAAGTCTAAACATTTGGCCTAGTAAAGAATTTTCTACCTCTGAGCATTTGCAGGCACAGTAGTTTAGTCACTTTGATACCTCTGTGACAAATTGTAGACACCTGTGAAACTTTTGGGTGCCTGAGTGGACAGAATTTGTAAATTTTCCACTAAAAATCATAAATCCACATTCTGGAAAAAATGCATTATTAGTTACTCAATGATTTTTAGACTTTTATTTTCCTCAATCCTCATGCGTGTCTGATTTTGGAGAGTAGTTTAGGCAAGTACTTGCTTGTGCAAGTGCCAGAATTTTTGTTTTTGTAGATTGGAGCAGACCTTGTAGGGAGCATTATTAATTGATTAAAAACAGTGTAGCTTTATTTACTATTTTAATGTAAACTGCTGAGCTTCTCTTTCCACAGTCCTGATATTTTGATGTGTTGCTTGGCAAGTAAGATACACTGCTTCTTTTTTGGTTGATGATGTGTGTAATTCCATATTCATCATCTTGTATTTTTACCCTTTTATTGTTCCTTCAAATGTTTTCATATTTATGCTCCTCATATATAGCTTCATATATGTATGTGATTATTATATACATATAATCTCTCTGTTTAAATTAAACTAACTCTGAGTTATGACAGAGGTAGCTGCTATAGCATACTGTTAATTTGAAATTTGATTTATAAGGTGGAAGGAAACTTTGGTCACAAAAGTGCTGTATGAAACTTGAAACAATGAAAATTCTTAAAAAGGCAATGGATTTTCTTGGTTTCCTAGAAGAAAACAAAGGAAGTATTTTGAAAAGTCAAATTCTAGGAATAATCCAGTGGTAATTAAGTGGTCTAGTGCTGGACTTTTCAGGGTGCACATATTGGCTTTTTTATCATTCAGTCATATACTGCAGACTGTATTCCATGTATGGAAATGAAGGGGGTTTTGAAAGCAAAGGGAAAAGCTTTTAGTTGCAGTCCATAAGTGTACTCTTGAAAAAAGTGATTCATTTATTTTCTGAACTTGCTGTCATAATGAACTAGATGGATTTTACTACTGTTTAAAGCTTACTATGAATTTTGGCCATAATGAAGGCATAGTTTTCAATATCTCAACTCTTTCTGGTTTTGTCCCAGAAGAAAATGGGTAGGTAAAACTTCTTCCAAAGCTGGGAACTGTGTAGGTTTTACTGATAAGTTCAAATAAAGGCAAATTTTTTTAATATTTAAAATCTTCTATTAAGCTCTATTTTTGCTTTTTGTATCAGGTGAACTTGCCAGAGCTCATTTCTATGAATGCTACTCTTCTGACACTGTCTGCCATAGATAGGGATTCTGAACATAATGGAATGATTTCCTACAAAATCCTCTCTTCCTGTGAGGGATTTTCCATTGATCACAAGAATGGTGAGTCTGCATGGTATATTATTTCAGCTTTTTAAGTATAAATCAAAGAGTCCTATTCCTTTCTCACCTGTTGCCAGTGATTACTTGAGTTCTGGGAATTTGTGGTGGCCGAAGTCCAATGTGTTTTTGCAAAATCTGGCATTATCATTGAGGGACTATTGCATCAAAGACTGGAGTTCTCAGTTTGTCCCCAAACCATGCATATTTTTTCTGGTCTAAATGCAGTATGTGTATTTGATACTGCATCATTGAGGAGAGATCTTGCCTTCGCAGCATTATGATTTCGTAGAATCATCAAATAGTTTGGACATGATCTTTAATTGTCATCTAGTTCAATCCCCCTACAATGAGCAGAGACATCTTCAAATAGGTCAGGTTGCTCAGTGTCCTGTCCAACCCGACCTTGAATGTTTCTGGGGATGAGGCATCTACCACCTTTCTGGGCAATCTGTTCCAGTGTTTCATCATCCTCATAAAAAAAAAAATGTTCTTCAGATCTGATGTGAATTTACCCTCTTTTGGTTGAAAACCATTATCTTTAGTCCTATCATGAAAGGCCTTACTAAAATGTCTGTTCCCATCCTTACAAACCCCCTTTAGGGCCAAAATAAGGTCTCCCTGGAGCCTTCTCTGGGCCGAACTATCTCAGCCTTTTCTCAGGAGAGGAGCTCCAGTCCTCTGATCATTTTTATGGCTCTCCTCTGGACTCACTCCAACAGGTCCATGTGTTTTGTTTGCTGAGAACTCCATAGCTGGTAGCAGCACTCCAGCTGGACTTTAACAAGAGCAGAGGGATTGAATCATGTCCTCCTCCCTGCTGCCCACACTGCTTTTGGTACAGCCCAGGATACAATTGGCTTTCTGGGCTGTAAGTGCACATTGATGGGTCATGTCCAGTTTTCCACCTACTGGTACCTTCAAGTCCTTGTTCACATGACTGCTCTCAATCCCTTCCTCCCCCACCCCCTATCAATATCAAAAGTCAAAAGTTGCCTTGATTCATGTGCAGGACCTTGCACTCATCTTTATTAAACTTCATGAGGTTCATGGACCCACTTCCGCACCTTGTCCAGGTCCACCTGGATGGCATCCCATCCCTCAAGCACGTCAGCTGCAGCACTCACTTGGTGTAATCTGTAAACTTGCTGAGGATGCACTCTATCCCCACTGTCTGTGTCACTGGTATTAAACAGTACTGGTATCAGACCCCTGGGGTATGCCACTTGTCACTGATGTTCATCCAGACATTGACCCACTACTCTCCAGATGCAAGAGAGTAATTTTGTTGTGTACAGCCATTACAGCTGGGGTCATTTTCAAATATGACTGTTTAGAATCATCTTCTGGAATCTCATTTATTTGCCTGTGAAGTGTGGGCTTTTGTTAATTCTGTTTTATTTTCAGGTTCACTGTTTTCCACGGAACTAATTATGCAGCTGAAAAATATTTCCATTATTCATCTCCTGATAGAGGCCACAGATGGTGGCAGTCCCCCTCTGAGTGCAGTTACCTCCATAGAGGTGCGCATAGAAGATGTCAATAACTGTGCCCCTCGCTTCACAAAGGCTCTGTACAATCTCAGTGTGTGTGAGAATGCCTCAGTTGGAGAAAGTGTCCTCCTGTTCTCAGCCATTGACTGCGACTGGACACGTGACAACACGTTTGTTGAATATTCTATTATTGGTGGCAATGCTGAGAATTTGTTCTCCGTAGAAACAAGTGTCATTGGGTCAGAAACATCCTACAGACTTGTCGGCAGTCTTGTTTTGAGCAGTGCTCTTGACAGGGAAACAGCTGCTTCTCACCAGTTGGTTCTCCTTGCCTCTGATCGTGGAACACCCTCCTTGAATTCAACTGCTACAGTGCTAATAACTGTGCTGGATATTAATGATAACCCTCCAGTATTTAGCAGCCCAGAGTATCATGTTCATGTCAAAGAAAGCATCCCCATAGACAGTCATATCACGGAAGTTTCAGCAGAAGACCGTGATGCAGGCACTAATGCAGAAATCACTTATGCTATCATCTCTGGAAATGACAGAGGGCATTTTTACTTGGATGGTAGAACAGGATCTGTAAATTTGACAAAAACGCTGGATTATGAGGATGCCATGAAATTCACTTTGGTTATCCAAGCCACAGATGGAGGAACTGATGTAAAAAATATGGCTTTTGCTGTCATTCTTGTTAGTGTCCTAGATGACAATGATTATGCCCCGCTTTTTTTGTTTCCCAGTCTGAGCTGCACTGTCAGTGAAAATCTGCCTACCTTTTCTTTTGTGTGTGCTGTTTGTGCATTGGATTTTGATAAAGGCTCCTATGGGCACCTTACCTACTCCATTCAGTCTTCATGTTTGACTCATCGTGAAGCTGCTAGAGACCATGACATGTTCTTCATTGATCCTTTAACAGGAGATATTCATACAAAGCAAATGTTTGACTATGAAAGTCAAAATAGGTACTGTCTCATAATCCAAGCAAAAGACAAAGGCGATGCACTGGCTACCACTACAGTTCAGGTAGATATTGAGGGGAGAGATGAATTTGATCCAGTGTTTACACAAGAACATTATTTCTTTAATCTTCCTGAGAAGAATGAAGCAGGCCAGTTGATTGGTAGAGTGACAGCATCAGACAGTGATGGTGGACTGGATGGAGTTGTTCATTACTCCCTTCTAAAACCTTCTCCATTCTTTTCTGTGAATCAAACCAGTGGCAATATTTATTTGACTCAGACTGTTCACAGAAGGAAAAATGGCATCAAAAGGAATGATGATACTCTGAAATTGTTGGTAAGAGCTCATAGCCCTAAAGTTTTGTCAAGGTTCACAGCATGCACTGTTTTTGTGAATGTTTCCAATTCTCCTGAGAGTGATCCCACAGTGTCAGCACACAGCCTGACAGTGAGTGTTTCCATCTCACTGATGGTGTTTCTGCTGCTTGCCATCACTCTCATCATGCTTACTCTGAGACTTAAGCAGAAAGATCTGATGAATGCTTGTGTGAAAAGAAACCCAGTATCCTCCTCAGCTGCTGATGTGAATTCAATAAGAGAAGACGAGGACTGCCAGAAAATCCAAAGTACAGAGAGCAGTATGCTTCCCATGGGTGCTATAGCAAAATGGCTGAGCCTAGCAGGACTTGGAGAGGGGAAAGATGATGATGTCTCCTGCAGGCATTCAGACTCTAGTGGCCATGGTTCTGCTGAAGGAGAGGCTGCAGAGGACGAGGAAATCAAACGGATCTATGAGTGTCCTTGCAGAAAAAGCATTGGCTCAGCACTGAGCGAGCACGGCTCGCAGATGCCAGATTCGGGGATCCCAAGGCAGTCTGATCAGTTCTCCTATCATTCTGGAGAAACAGATGTCACAGCTACCATGCAAAGCATGGAGAATGTGAAGACCATTAAAGGAGAAAGCAGAGAAGAAGCCTGTGACACAGCCCATGCACACAAAATCTTGTCTCAAAAACTTACGGAAATTGGGATAAAAGAGGAAGGCACAATGACAGACCTCACAAGAGACTATGTCCTCATGCCAGATAGGAAAGACTCTGGGCATGATTTGCTTGCAACTGTTGGCACCTCAGATGAGGGTCTCAGAGGTGGTTATAACTGGGATTATGTGCTCAGCTGTGAACCCAGATTTCAACCTCTTGCCTCAGTGTTCAATGATATTGCAGAACTGAAAGATGAAAATGTTCATATTCACAGCTTCTCTCAGGAGAAGAAATCTCTTGTTTTCCCTCCTCCCTTGATAACATCAGTAGCACAGCCTGGCATAAGGACAGTGCCACCAAGAATGCCAAATATAACATCAGGGCAAGCTTTTAATAAATGCCCTTATTCTCCCATTATCCATTATCATGGATACCCTCCACCAACCATGACCCCCAGGTTTTCTCCTACTCTCTCTTTACTTACCATGCAGACACCTTCTGCTTCTCCAGTAATGTCTGATGGGAAAATGATAGGAACATGTCTTATTGATCCAAGCTACGAACTTGCAACAGAAGAAGAAATTCAGGTCTAGGTTATTAACTGACAGTATTTTATGGTAAAAAATATGGCTTAAAATGTATTTTGTTACTTTTTAACAGCAAAATATGCCTGTCAGAGCTTCATCACCAGTATTCTTTCTGTTTTCATGAGCCTAAAAAGTTAAAATATAAAGTAGTCAGAAATTTGGTAACTATACTTCTTGTTCTTCCCAGAATACACTGTGAGACCACGAGGCTTCTCTTTCAGTTCACAACTGTGGTTTCTATGTAAAACACGCAACCAAGTGCCTGATAACCAATTTGACCAATTTTACAATTTTTCTTATAAAATACATTAATAACAAACAAATGGAAGCAATTATTTATTGTGGAAAGCATTTGTTAGCATACTGGTGGGTTCTGACTGATTCTGTGGTGGTGTTAGAGGAGAGTACTGGAGGGATGTGTAAGTACAGCAGGTGTGGCGGTGGAAAAAGGATAAAACTTGGGTTCCTACTGAGCTCTTTCTCTAGTGTTTACCCGGGTTTCCCACATTTCAGCCTGTGGGTCCCAACGATCTGTTTGGTCTGGTGTGGCAATGGCTCCTCAGTGGGCTTTCTTAGCTATCTTCGTGGAACCCAGGTTCTGTGCACCTTTTGTTTATCTCCTGCTTTAAAGCCAGCAAGTCACAATAATCTGAATAATGGATGACCTTTGGAAAACAGAATAATCAGTGAAAAGATAAAAGCAACCATCTTCTCTATTACTATTTTGTTGCATTACAGGGGGCACCCTGGGGCTCAGGCAGCTGTAAGAACAGTGTTACAGTCCTGAAGGTTGGGTATGCCTCCACCCTGGTCTTGGTTCTGTGCTGGACCAAAGATCTCTGCAAGACCAGATAATCTGGCCTTGTTTGTTGTATGTATCATACACATGGCATTTTGTGTACGTATGTATATCCAGACACATACACGTGCTGTGTATGCTTGTATATTGATCAATAAAATACACAGACAATACATCTAGAATAACTCTGGTTTTTCTTCAATGTATGTTCCAAAGTCCTTTGCATCACACGTAGACGTGTGTAATTGGTGCCTATAGGAGTCTGCTACTACAAGCTGGATGTATACAGAGTTATATATTGTACAGGTCATAACAAGTGGAGGGAAAGCATGCAGTATGGTTAGGCTGAGTGATTTTGTGGGATCAATAGCATGTGTGCAGTGGCTGCTTTTCCTCAAGCATGCATGTCAACAATTGCAGCCTGTGGGCTCATAACCAGTCTTTGAATAAGATCCTATTTCTGAGGCTACACTGACACTGTACATCTTGCACACGCAACAGGATCCATGATGCTATGTGTCTTTTAAAGCTGGCATTTGTTCTTTGTACTGCCATGGAGTTGGAAATGAGCTAAGGAATTCATTAGGACAGATAAATTTTACTAAGAAAGAAGATGGGATGGTAAGTTTTATAGTCAGACAAAAAACTGTGCTAGGGAGAAGAAAGAAAAAAGAGGAATTCATTACCTGTTCATATCTAAACACAGAGATTCAATTAAAGGACATAATTTCAGAATGAATGTTGTTCTCTGCTGTCAACACTCTGCCTGTTGGCATTATGTATACAGCCTGATTGGCTTTAACTTATATGTGTGAAGTTGTAAAGTAATTTCTAATATACTGAAAGGTGTCCTTTGGCTGTTGACTTCTGTGCAGTTATAGTATCAGGAGGCACACAGAGCTACCTTTTCTAGTGAAGTCAACAACTTCACTAATTTGATTTTAGTTTCAGATGGTCATGGACAAGTGGCAGCTATTGCTCTGGTGAGCAATGAGCACGTGCCATCCTTAGAGGGGTCACCTTTTCAGCATGGGATCAGTGGAAGAATGAATGCTTTATACAGCAAAATTGTTTCATCCTTCACATTGATGGATATGAAGCAGGTAACAAGGCCTTCATTTCATGTATACAGTCTAGGCTAATGGATGAGTAGCTTTTTCTTTGCTAATATGGCTCTTACAAATGTTCTAATGCTATTAGCATTAGAAATCATTAGAAAGCATCACTAATCATATTTAGGGGACAATATTTGGACCTCACCTTGCTAATGGGTGCCCACCTCCTAGAGTTCTTGAAAAACAAGAAAATTGTTTGTTTGTGCATTTTTAGCTCCTTCAAATTCAGCTTGTTTTTGATGCCTTTCTAAGAAGATTTAATATGATTTGCATCCTATTTATCAAGCGCATGATATAACCAATGAATACTTTGTGCTCCATTTAAGTGTTACAGCAATCTTTTCATTGTTTCTTAAGTATTTATTGATTTTCTTTTTTATCAAATGGGAAACAATGCTTAGCTGATATATTGTTGTGTCATATATAGTCAAGCTCCAAAACTTCAACATTGAAACAAGTGTCTGCAATAAATCATGCACAGTTCTTTTAACCTTACTGGTTTTTTCCCTAAGTAAACAGTATAACTTTTATAATTTACCATGACTTTAATATTAGCTTGCCTTGAAGAGGCTGTGTTACTTTGCAATTCTGCACACCAGTTTTAGCACTTTGGAGAAGGTACAGAACTTGTTAGTGGAAAATCATATTAAGCTCAAAAAGCATAAGCTATAAAATAAAAGACAGTTGTCTCTTCTGGAATTTTGGCTGCCTGCCTTCTGGATTTGCTTGTTGGCAGCCTTGAAAACACTGGTGTAAATCACTACCAAATGGATATAAAAATTCCATCTACCGGTAGTAATTGTTCTATAGACGTTCAAGCAGATTTCTGTGCAAAGAGAAATAACCTTCATATTTTTGGGGAATCCGTTATTTACAGATTATAACGTTGTAGGCCTGTTTTCTAAAATGATACTAAAAACACCAGTTACCTTCACAAGTCTGTATTTATTTTGTATTTTATCTTCAGCTGACGACAAATATTATTTCTAAAGCAGTTTTAGGTTAAAATAGTTGTGATAAAAATGAACCTTTGTTGCTAAATCTATTGCACTGACATTTCTTAGTATCATTTACATTTGGTAGCCATCCATCCTCTGTGCTGCATGTCACTTCTTTTCTATAACTGACATGTAGCTTGCTGAAAACTATATTTAACTGTTCTCTTTGGGACATCTATAAACTGCAAACATGCTGTCCTGACCAAAAAAAAAAGTTACTAGAACATCAGCTAGTACCAGACTGACAATTGTGCCCAATAATATAATATAGCTTCATACTTCTTCAGCACAAAGACCAGTTGGCAATCCAGTTGGCCACCATAGGCATGTGTGAGGCCAGTGGGATTAGACCTACTCCAATGGCAGTGCCTACATTGCTCCCTGAAAACCAGCCCTCTGGGGGTGAATAACACAGAGGAATTGAATCCTTGCAGGAAGGGAATTACACTGGTTGGCTGCAAATGGAAGGGGGTGTTCCCTAAAACCTTGTAAAAACACTAATTGGAATAGGAGGCAGTTGTGACTTTGTAATTGAATATACTGTGGTGGGAGGTTTATTTTTAGGATTTGGCTTGCTTGGCAAGTGAAATCGCTTTGGAGCTTCTTGCTCTTAGTGTCTGTCACAACAGAACCGACTCACCATGGCAATATGTGGCTCAGTTGCCTGTAGAAGATCTGGTTGCAATAAATAAAGTGTTGCAGAATCGAATTGAGTATAGTTTTGGGTGCCTCATAGTTGCTAGTTCTGTTAGCTGTTTGCTAGCACGTATGGAAAGCCTAATGTATATTCAGTCTGTGCATGGCTTTGTATGTTCAGAACTCATTCAAAAAGCTGCAGTCTGACACCAAAATCCTCGTGGTGGCTTTGAAAATTCCTCCATAAATACGTACAACATTTAAAAAACACTGGAAAAAATGTGGATGCCTAAGCAAAAGAAAAGGGGCCTTATAGAAGGGAAAAAATGGAGATCTAAAACTTTTTGGTCAAGACTTGCACTTTACATTGCTGCTAGGACTATTCCTCATAAAACATCAGATGCTTTTTTCCTGTAATGTGTAAAAAGTAATAGAAGAGCATCTGTAAGGAATACCGAGGGGCAGCAGGGTAGGCTAGAATTACAAAATTATTCTGTTTCTTGACACTTATGAGTTATTTGAACAATGAAGAAAGTACCAAATCCTTTAGCTCATGATAGTCACAAAAATCACAATTACTGCCTTGTTACTATATAAATGTTTAACTGACCCTAATAAGTCCTGTACTGGATGAAGCATTAGGAGCCAAACCATATGCCTGAAAATGCAAATGTCCTAGTAAAGGGCTGAAGGAATCTATCATGGTTTTCAAAACTTCAAATGAAAATCTCATTACAATTAGAAAACTCAGATTTCTTGACTATCATGTTTAAAACAAGGTATTTCTGCCCTAGAAACCACACTGAAAACTGTCAGTCACATCTGTGTAGCCTTATCTTCTTGAAAATAGTCTTATGTTTTACACTTTTTTTGAAAGTTAGTATTTATATAATGTGGGTTACTTTCCCTAAAACTTCATGATGATTGCCTATGGAAAGCTCTCAGAAAACTCAGAAAATGGAAGTTAAGCTGTTGATTGTGAGAGCTGTTCAGCTGCCATTAACTGTTGCATAGAAGTGACTTTTCAGAGTGGCTGGGGGTAGATGGTGCCTACTCACTAACTCGGCCTGGGGGAATACCTGGCTGTTGCCTGTATCCAGCTCCACCATTTTGTTGGAAACTTTTTGTGGGAAACTTTTAAATGGGAAACTCAACAGAGTTTCCAAAATGGTGTTACTGGTGCCATAGCCAAAAGAAAAGAGTAGCAAGTCAAACTTGTTTTGTTGACCTCTGAAAGTTCTGTCTCAAGCCCCATCTTGCTGGCTGCAGACTACTTTCCAGCATCTCCCTTTTAACAAACTGTAGATTCTATTTAATTTCAAAGAGGTTTTTTTTAAATACTGGGTTCTGATCCAACATCCCAAGACTTCTTCCACTGATTTAACTGGGACTTGAATAAAAAATGCACTTAGAAGAAATGAGCAACATATGTGTTGCTGATGCTCCTGCAAGAGTCAGTGGCAGTGGAGAGCTGGCTCCCCAGTGTGCAGGGCTGTAAACCTTCAGGAGGGAGCATTGAGAGAAGAGAAATAGAGAGCCTAAAAAATAGTAGAACCAGCCATGGGGCAGGGGGCTGGGATTTGGAGGGGAGCTCCTCTGTGCTTCCAGGTGATTGATGCAAACCTTGCTTTATATGCTTATTTTGGAGCAACTTTTAGAGAAATCTGGGAAGGTCTGTAAGGGAAAGGTCATTTACTGTTTCCCTAT